GTGTGTGTGTGTGTGTGTGTGTGTGTGTGTGTGTGTGTGTGTGTGTGTGTGTGTGTGTTTGTGGGAAGGTGTGTGTGATGGAGATGTGTGGCAGTAGGAGAACATGTGGTCGCACTGCAGAGAAAAAAGCTGTTTGAAGAGAGAATGAGTGACACAGATATGAAAAGTGTTCCCCGTTTCATGAAAAGAGCAATCACAATACTGAGTGTTATTTGTGAGAGAGGGAGCTCTATTGAATTTTCTGAACTCGCTGCTGTTGAACAGAGATTCAATAAATGAACTCAGAAAGCTTCATTACACCACATTTCAATTAGGCAGCACACACACTGGGACCGACAAAGGCTGTTCAAATGGACCAATAGTTACAGCATGTATGTCCACACTAGAAAAAGACCCCCAAAATGTTTTTTTTTTTTTTTTGAAATAGAGGAGAGTTTGTTCATAATTTGATCTAGAGTTAACCCTCATGTGTTCATGTGTCACAGTATATCTATCATTGTTATTTCAGTGTGTTTGGACAACATGAAACTGCAAAAAATATCAGTATATTATCCATTCTATTGTGATTATAGCTGGAAAACCAAGAAAAATCACTTAGTACAAAAAAAAGAATTAATTACAGGATAGCGTCAGGCCTGAATCTCTAACACCTAATTTAAGTTCATTTTTAATGAGCTACATTTGTGCTGAATTAGTTAAGGCAGGCCAGAAAGCCCACAGTATATTTGCCAGCTTATCATCTGGATAACCTTTTACTACATGACAGATTTCAAACTGACGTTTCATTTTAGCTCCTCCAGCCTGACGATTCCTCCTGCTTCCTCAGCGTTCCTCCTCCTTTCATATCCTGCCTCTGTACCGTACTGTCTTTGCTGCTGTTCTCCCTGCCCCAGATGTCTTTTTGTTTCTGGCAGCTCTTAACAGCTTGTTTTAAAACATGACCTCAGGGTGTGTCGTCTAGAACAATCCTTAAGGAGCTGAACAGTCCATTTAATCCTCCTCTCAGGTCTCTATTAGTCCAGTCTGTCTCTAAAGTCTCTCTTATTCTTTTTGTGGTCCTGAAGGAAATTCTCAGCTGGTTTTTCTCCCTAAAGCTGATGACTCCAGTAAACAGCGGGAAGTTTTCAAGCCTTTACTGATGGCCACTATGTAAATGAAGGCTGGTACGAGCTGGATTTGAGTCAGTCGTTAGTGAAACCTGGAGTTGTTCTATTAGAAAGACCTTCATGAAGGTCAGTATATGCGAATGAGGCTAGATGGGGAGCTATGTGAGCACTAAGGGCTAGCCTCAGACCTTTTTTGTAAAAGTCTAACTTTCTGAAGTACAAATCTGTGTAAAAAGTAACACCTTCATGCCGTGTCTGACTTCCAATCAATGAGGCTGAGTAGTGCTTAAATGGGGGTTAAAGGTATATACCAGCACAAATTTAAGTTACGGTGAAACACACCATAACACTGAGTTAGACACCCCCTTGAGAGATGACTCTTGCCGACCGTTTGCTTCTTTAGTTATACCAACTTTAGTAACGACCACACAATAGCAATACACAGCAGTCTATGGATCCATGCGCAAACCTCGACCAAAAAGCCACTCTATAGCTACAAGCAATGCTCAGAACAGCTCAGAAAAACTCACCCACTCTCCTCCAACAGCAGCTTGTTAGTGAGGGAGCCCTGACGAGTCGATCACCAAGTGCAGCAGAGTTTCACAGCTCAAGAAGGAACATTCACGATTATTGCTTCTTGGAAATGCAATCAGAGTTCTTGTGTATCCTCCATGTGCACTGCAGACGCGGTAGTTCTTCTGCCTTAGCGTCTCGATCTGATTGCTTTTCCATGAAGTAATTATCATAAATTCTCTGCTGCACTCGGGGATCAACTCGTCAGGGCTCCCCCACAAACAAGTGGCTTCTGGAAGAGAGTGGGTGAGTTGTGTTTGGTCTCTTTGCTAAAGAAATTAGGCAAAGTGAAAAAGATGTTTGGTGGCTAGTGCTGTGGCTGGGACCCTATATGTACTGTTGATGAAGTTAGGTGCTGTTCTGAGCATTATTTGTGGCTATAGAGTGGATTTTTGGTTGAGGTTTGTTTATGGCTCCTCAGACCGCTGTGTATCACTATCATGCAGTCGTTACTAAAGTTGGTATAACTAGAAAACAAGCGGTTGGCAACATTCATCTCTAGGGGGGCCGTCTAACTCTGTGTTACTGTGTGTTTGACCCTCACTTAAATTTATGCCGGTATATCCCTTTAAGAGTCCATAAGGCAATAACAGAAAATAAACAAGTTGAATAATTGGTTGCACACTATGTCAGATGTGAATGTGGAGATGCTTCTTCTTGAATTTTAGAAATAATCAGAGTCTGTATTCCTTCTGCACAAATCTCCCCTTTATTTGCGTGAGAAGTTTACCAAACAAACTTAATCAAAGTCTTTATTTCATTTCAAAGATTGTTCGCACCATTAAATGAGAGTTTTCTGTGTAAAATAGTCATATGATAGGATTTTGCATGACAAGATGGAAACGAATTTCCATTTTTAAGGCCTGTGTAGCTGTGCAATATAGACCACTTCTCAGGTCTCTAAGGCTTCCAGTGTCCCTGAAAACTACACAAGCCACATCCTATGTGTCCTTGATTGAATCTAGCTGTAGTAGAAGCGGTAGTTTTGGTTTTCTTTGCCAGGAACTGTGTCCAGTCTGTTCCTTCACTGGTGGCCCCCTCCCACAAACAAAGCAGTGTGTGTCTGCAGCCGCTGCGCGACATGTGCAAACACAACCCAGCCCCTGCCAAGACAGTGAATTACCAGCGCTAATCCCAGCGGCTGAAGCTGAGCATCTTACATCAGAGAACAATAGATTTATTTCCACAGTCTGACAGAGGCGGACACTCAGCAGGGCATTTGGCGGGGTCCTGGGGGTGCTGCAAAGAAGGGATGAAGGTACAGACACAATGTTTTTAGGAAGATGATAAGAACATGCTGCGGATAAGAAAGCACAAGCAAAGAAGAGAGGTAAAGTATCGTTTAAAGTCAGGTTTGTTTGTTGTAGCCGCCATTTTCCTCCAGCATCACAACCAGTTAAACAAAAGAGTCAAAGTGAAGGATACAGTGGGGTGTTCAAGGTTCATTTATTATGAACCCAGAGTTTATTTATTTAGGGTTTGCAGCTGAAAGGAAGGGGACAGATAATATCCAAATGGTGGTAGACCATGTTCCCATGCCGTCTTACACTCAGTCATAAATGATCAGATCTTACTGCTGTGTCCCTGGTTTTAAGTTGTATATACTTGATAATTTGACTAATTGTGGTCATTCTATAGCTCTTGGACTGATAAGCAGCCACAAAGGCCACATATAACAAGTATCAGGAGAGAGATAGGGTCCAATTTGTGAGGTAAAAAACCTTTTTGACAGTCCACTAGCTTCCATCAGAACACAGCTACCTTCAGTAATAAAAAAGGGTGGACCAGCAACAACAATGGGAACATGGCAGCTTTGAAGTTGAATTGTTTCAAGAAGGCTTTGTTTTCTTAGCATTCATTTCCCCAAATTATGTTTCTTTAACAGCAACATAATCAACATAACTGACTGTGTTGCGTAGCTACAAAGCTTGTAGACATCATGCTTATACCAATTTGTTAACAGTTTCATTAAAATAACCTCTGCTGACTTATATTTATACACAGGGGTGCAAAAAGAAACCGAATAGAAAAGTATTTCAGACTCACAGTGCCCAGTTCCTGCATGCTTGGTCTTATTGAAAAGAATAACATGGCTGCATGGTTGGGTGTCAGTCTGCAGTAAATGCACTCAAAAGGTGCTAATGTTGTAGAGTGTAGAATTACTGTCATTGTAGCTTTGCCAGTTTAATAAATCTCTCTGCATGTCCTGCAAAAGTACCTCAGCAGCTGTGATACAGTGGTCCCCAAAAAGAGAGCTTGTGCTTGTGACCTGTAGCCCTTCACCACTGTGCAACACCTTTAGCCAGCTGGTAAACACTGACACATGCCGTAAATTTCAAACACCAGACAGACAGTTTGATTTAACCCGAAAAAGTATAATAGAAAAAGTGCCTCCATTATATAAGATCAGCTTCTTGTTTCTTCAGCTGCAGAGTGGAGTGTTTTGAGATGCCTCCAAAAGTCCAGCTCATGTACTGTTTTCATTTTCCTCCTGTGCTCATTCCCACCCTCTCCTCACAAAGGTCTGAAAACAGAGAGGCCTCATGTTACCAGGCAGGTCTCAGGAATTGTTTACTGTACCCAAAGATTGTTCTATTAGATCATATCTGTAGCTAGAACTCAGTGTTTCCCCCTTTTACAGCTCTGTATAATAAAACATCTTCCCTATTTCACAGGAAATGTGTCACGTGCAGCGTTGCCAGAAGTTAATTTAGCATGGCGCAGATATCCTGCACTGCTCTACCTGTTTTGATGTCGATGTAAATGGTTGTGTTTGAGGGCTTGAGGAAACATGATTTCTCCATACAATCTTTGGGCGCAACAGATGGATTTTCCCCTCCAGGAGCTGAATGAAGAAAAAGAACATTCAATATGTAATTACCCTGCATAGACATCGTCACGCTGTTGTCAGGAATTCAATATGCACCTACGACACCGGTGCTGTAACGCTAAGGAAATAAATGTTTGTTTGGCTTTGTGGAGGAGGGAGAGAACCACCTCGGCTGTTCATCATGAGAAGCAGGTCGAACCCTTGTCTGATACAGGAGGATGTCTCACCACACGCGCACACCCACACACACACACACACACGTATGCATGCACACACACACACACACACACACACACACACACACACACACACACACACACACACACACACACACACACGTATGCATGCATGCACACACACACACACACACACACACACACACACACACACACAGACAGCAGCTATGTCTCTATGCTGAGTTTGTAATGCTTGTGCAATATATTTCTTATTCTTATTAACTGCATGTGTGCAATTTATTTTCCTCTCAGGCGATGGAGGTGGTTGGGAGTGTGGTCGGAGCTGATAAGCTGCGGCTCACACCCAGGCCCGCTGGAGAGACCAGATTTACCAGGAAGACAATGTCCACCAGGTCAGGCGCTCACATGCACAGACACGGACCTGCTCGTTTGTTTAAGTATTCTTGTGAGGACCGCAGCCATGAAACTGCCACAACCTCCAACCCTGAATTACAAATATTCAAGTGTGATCAAACTGCAAGAATAAATAACAAATCAGTTTAGTAGAGAGTCCTTAAAGAGGTGTTTGCGCGTCCAACATTAGATGGTAAAAAAAGGTGCATGGACGTGAAACTAAAGCCTGCTAAAAAGAAAACCTGGGATGCTATTCTTCCTCTGCTGCAGGGGCGTACTTAGAGTGTTTGTGGAGCGGGGGTGAAAAATGAAAAAGGGCACCCGATGTTTGCATGGGGCACCAAGCTAATGATGATCTGTCTCTGGCAGCCTTTAAAAGACCAATTTATTAGCTGTTTTCAGTCTGTCTTTGGTGATCTTCAGACAACAGAACTGGCTCAAAATAATGAACCTCAGGTCCTCCCTGTGGAGTTTCTTACATTGTGAAGGATACTTCTGCAACAATTAAATGTGAAAGTCATTCATAAATTATTGTTTAAATTAGCTGCTACTTTCCCCCTGGAGATCACAACCCTAGAATACCATCTGGTATTTTGACCATGGTGGTTTTAAAATTTAGCTATAAAACTATGTCAAATGATAGAATGAACTGATTAAACATCTGACCCATTGGAAAGGATTTCAGAAGGTACAGTAGACATCCAGGGGGCGCTTTTCCATGAATTATCCTCCCAAAGAACACTTACATAAGCAATTTGTCATCCAAAGAGGGCGTTTCTGTGCCTTTTTCTCTAGACATGAGAGAACTTTGAAGGTGATTTTGACTTTGATTCAAAAACCAAAACTCTTTCAAATCTACTGGTAAGTAAGAAGACGGCATTTGCAGCAGTGATATTGTAAAATAGTTGGGCAGACGCATGGTGGTCAACTTTTTTGCAGTATTATAGCAGCAGTCATTTCACCCCAAACATCACCTTGCATTGAGCTCCACTTCACTCGAACTATTTAAAGATGTCTGCATGGGGCTGTTTACCTGTCTTTACCTGTCTGATAATTATTCTTACATCACTGTGATTCCTACAAACTTCTGCAGACATCACATGCATACATATCAATGCTGCAGTGCCATAATGTTTACGATGAGCTCGTGAGTTATGTTGATGTCTGTATACTTTCAATGAGCTCCGTACACTGAGATAAACCCTCCCAAAGTCCTGATTATTCAGTGGTGCTGCTTGTTTGTTTACATGAGGAGGCCAGAAGCAGCAGTGTAAAGATAAGGGAGAAAAAGTAGAGCTTGCAGTGCACCGTCAGGAGCACAGAGACGTCTATAAAGTGAAAGAAGCACTGCTCTGTCGGAATATGACAGCCAATCCATCAGAGAAATGGAGGCTGCGTCTGAAGCGCCAAGGAGAGAGTGCTCGCAAGTTTTATAAATAGTTGCGTCTTTAAAGGAAATTGGAAGTTGTCAGACACTTGCCATCTGCATTTTTTTGAGAATATCTCCAACAGAAGCTCTCTTTGAACACGACTGAAGCATCATAACATATGAAGTGGCAGAGCTTAAAGCCGATTGGATCTGCACTGAGACGAGTCTGTTCACAGTCTCACAGTGTCAAGGTGCCCCAGCTAATGAATGCTGTTTCCATGACATCTATTAACCTTCCTTAAACTTATGCTCTGTGCGTGTTTTTGTGGCTGGGACTGTGTTTCCTCCATTTTCCTCTATATCTCTATAAAGACAGTTGACCAAAATCCTCACAAGACTTTTTTTTTTCTTGTTGTTTTGCTAAAAGGGCAGCTAAACTTTGGGGCCTTCAGACAAAAGGTCGTCCAGGGTCAAAACAACTCCAAACTGTTTGTAAATTGAGCAGTTTGTCAATTAAGGGAAATACTTAGAAGTTATAAATACAAAACCCAATTCCATTAAAGTTGGGAAATTGTAATAAACATAAATAAAAAGAGAATACAATGATTTGCAAATTCTTTTCAACCTATATTCAATTGAATACACTACAAAGACAAGATATTTAATGTTCAAACTCATAAACCAACACATGCCAAAGTAGTTTTTAACATTCACATCCTACATTTTATATTCTGGGTTTCATATTCTATGTTCTGCAATCCAAGTTCATTATTCTTCACTCTATATTTTGATATATTTTGACTATCTGGATGTAAACAAGTCCAGATGGTATCTTGTAGCTCAAAATGGTTTGTTAGTATTTTGATCAAGAGAGCAGCTGTTAAGTTGTGTAGAAGCTGTGTCTGATTAAACTGGCTTATAGCCATTCAGCTGGAGCATTGTGTAACCAGCACAGGCATGTGGATGTTACAGTGACCATACGTCCTCTCTCACCTAGACATGTCCTCTTTTTGGGGGCTGTCCAGCCTGTCCAGCCTTGTCCAGGGGAGTTTATAAAATCCTTCAAATGTCTGGGGTATTGTATGGAAGTTCTGAGTTTGTGTGGTGTGGACTAACTGGGTTAGAAGTGCATAAAAAACACTCGACCCGACCCGAAAAAAAAAAAAAAACTTCAAAATTTACAATGTGTAAATCTGCGACTCTGCCCCGCGTAGTAGTGTCCTCTTTTTGGGGGTTCAGAATATGGTCACCTTAGTGGATGTTATCCTGCAGAGAGGACTGAAGGCTGGTGGTGCTAACTCTGCTAAACCAACCTGATAACCTGCAGACTCTCCTGCAGACTCTGTGGTCTTGTTGGATAAACTGTGTTCAAAGTGTGTTTTTTCCTTTTAGACCTGCTGTAGAAGGAGCTGGTTGAGTTTCCTGCAGCAATCTTACCTTTTGCTCTTGTCTGTCATGTGCAGGTTTGTAAACAGGAAAAAAAAATCATTTCTCAGGGTGCACTTTCAAAACAACCCTTTCTTACTCATATTCAAAACAAGCTGTTTCTGTCGTCCTCCTTGACTTTGCCAGTTTAGCAAATAAGAGGCGATTAAAACAAATGAGCCTAGATTGATCCTGATACATGGTGAGGGAGAAGACTGATGGTAAAGGCAAGCAAAAAGGATGATTACAACTGTCCTGGCCTGATGACAAATGGCCCTGTATTGTTCTGGAAAGAGGCATTTTTTTATCAGCCATATCAAAACACTTGGAGGATATCACGGCAGCCATCACTGTCATCATCGCTATCAGCATTTTCATCTCTTCTCTTCTGCCCAGCTCTGATCAACATACAGGCTCAGATGCAGGCTGATAGTGTCTGAGGGAATATGACAGGTGTGGGGTCTGAAATTGCATTGATCAGTGAGATAATGTTAGTGAGGCCGAGTGTGAATTTAACTGAATAACGCTCGCTGAAATGAAACTTTCTCTGCAGTTTGAAAATATTCTAAACAGAGCTGATGCATTTAGACTTGAGACGGAAGTTTAATATCAAACAAAGTGTGTCTGACCTGTGGTGAGATCTTTTGGAATAAGCATCATGCCGAGAGTGGATATAATGTGTCTTTTATAATTTTCAGTGTACAACTTGTATCCTGCATGGTACCACTCTCCTGGATTCAACTGTTTCTTTTGTATGTTATTGCTCAAAAGCTCACAAAAGGCTGGAGTCATTTAAAAGGGACAAATGAGGTGCACAAACAGAGTGTACACACTGAAAATTACCCTCAACCCATTAGTCCGAGGAGCAGAATAAAAAGCAGCAGACGATAAACCTCGCTGGTGGTGACTTTAGTAAAGTTTGATTTAATAGCAGCAGCAGTTGGAGAGGCTGTGCAGGCTTGCTGCAGAGAGCTCCCATCTTGAGAAAGCATCCTGCTGCAGATATCAGTCAGCCTGATGAGCCAGAGGACAGAAGCAATTACACTCAGAGCAAGAATAACACAGGCTTTAGGAAATAAAAACATTACTATAAGGACACCCCATGACAAGTAAGGTTTAAAAGCTCATTTGAAGAGGAGTGATTGCATTTGAAGTAATTTATGAATCCAGAGGTAAAAATGTACCAAAATGTCGGAGTTGATCTACTGCCTCGCTTCACCTCAGGATTTTGCATTTAAATTGGAATATTTGTCCGTTGGTATGGCGTAAATCATGTGACACCATGTTCTGCATTTATCTTTCATGAGGCCGCCTTTACATCTCATCCTACATCTGCAGAGGGGGAAGTGTATTACTCGACTCTGTCTCTCAATTAAGTGTTCACTGGTGACCAATTACCTCTGAGGCATGTGGAACAAATTATCTTTAAACAAGTGTCATCTTCAACTTCCACTTGTATAAATCTGATACTGCAATCTCATGACTGTAGAAGTCAACCTTTTTCTTTTAATTACAGCTGTTGACAAACAGTAGTGGGAACGCTGTCATAAATCCATCAGCTGCCTCTGAGAGGGCTCCTTTCAAAGGAAAATAAAATCATCTTCCTTAGTTTGAACTGGTTTTATGTCCTTATGTCTTCAGGAGATTTTTTTCTTGAATTGTCATTTTTTACATCTTTTCTTTGTCTATCTAGGTTTTATTTACGTTGTGGCTTCCTATTAACGCATCATGCTGGTCCAGATTCAAAGCCCAAAATACTGGAGCAGGCTCAGTGTGGTTCTGAATTCAGAATCAAAATGAATGCATTATAGATTTCCTCTTTTTTGTTGTTATACAATCATGGAGAGCGCAAAAGGTTTGTCATCTAAACACATCTATGTAAAGATACGTTACAACTGGGATGAATAAATGTTATGCTCTGCACGTGTATTGGATAAGCGCCTCCCTAAGTGTTCAGTTCACATGTAGAATTTGCAGTGTTAATGTCACATTACTTTCTTAAAATAAAGGCAGTCATGAGTCATGTATTTCTGTGCTAATATACTAATATAAAGGTGCAAAGTGGGCAAAGCACCGGTCCTTGGTGATTTCATTCTAATTATTTTGTGGTTTTTTATTTATTTTTAAATGTGTCTTTAAAAAGCGTTAATGTGAGGAATTCCTGGGGCCGTGTGTTAAGCAACAAACACTGTAAACCGATCATTGATTGATTCATCCTGAGGATAGTTGCTGTTAGACTAGATGCACTGTTATTACAATAAAGAAAACGTGTGTGTTTGTGTGTGTGCGTGCGTGCGTGCGTGTGTGTGTGTGTGCCATCTCTAATAATAGTATACAATCTTTCATTTCACACCAAATGTGATCCATATCAGGGACTACTGATAGTGATAAAATGGGGTTGTATTGAAAAGGTTTAATTATGTCTTCATGTGTTCTATCTTGTTTGTGTTTCTCAACATCACAATTTTTTTCACAATAAAATTGTGTCATTTGATCGGTTTGTCATACCTTCAAGATAAGAGAACCTTTGATAAAGGATTAATCCAAGTCATAATCGAATCCATTAGACTTCATCCCCCTAATATATAAAAACTAAAATATGGTGTGATTTTACGATGTGGTGTGATATGGTGTGACAGGATACACCTTTCTGGGCCCTTGGGGAAAGTTTGTTTTCATCCTACAAGCTCAGCTGCCTCCACAATAGTACCATAAATCATATCATGGATAAAACAACACTGTGAAAACTAACAATTAACCCCATGCAAGCCGAGAAACACATAAAAGTATAATTATAATTAAAAACAAAAGCAACATTTTTTGCACTTCAAAAACTGTTTTTTTTTTATCAGCTTTTTGTCCTTTTAAAGGTCCTTATCATCGACTGTATAAAGAATGGACAGAATCTGCCTACTCGCTGGGTGAAGCTACTCAGAGAACAGCACCCTCTGTTGATGGGCTGCAGTATAGGTCATAAATCCCGCCTCCGCCAGCAAAGTTAATGGAGCTGTGGACAAACTTTAGAAATTTATTACACAGAACATAATTTTTTCTCCCCCCTGCTTGTGATGTTGACATGTAGTGACTGTAAGACTGGTTTGTGCTCAAGTCCTCTTTTTTCTGTACAGCTCCGTTTTTAAAAGTTATTAGGGGGTTCATGTTTTCTATGATTGACACCTGATACAGCCTATGGGCGTTCAGGGATTGCGCAGCTCACCCGGGGGGAGACGCTGTTTGAGCCGAGCATCATCACAGTCGACTCTCTGCGACCTGCGCGCCCGAATGTGCGCATCGCTACTGCACAGCGCTGGTTTCAGGAAATGAGAAAAAAATCCCTGAAATACCGAGAGCTATTTGGCTTCAAATCTGCTTACAGGCCGGAGGTGGAACCAAGTTGTCCATAGTATATACAGTCTTTGGTCCTTACACACCAGGCCCAACGCAAATATAGAACGCGAAATTACAAAATATTTGGAGGCAAGTTTTGATGTCCCTGACTATACACATCAAGCCCGATGCTATTTTGTGACTTTCCGGGGGGAAAAAGACGCGTCGCGGGTGGAAGCGAGAAGACTGACACAACAGCAGACTGACTGTTTTCAGTTCTGATTAGACACTAGTGTTGAGATGGCTGTCTGTCATGATAGCATGTACTGAGTCAGGGCCAGTACCAGATAAGCACATTAAACGATAATCCATAAACATAAGGTAACAACCAGGACCTAACGGTGCTGTGACAGCAACACGATTGAGTTTGAGACAGTGAAAATACATATGGTATGTTGTATCTGAACAGGTTAGCTTATGAGCTAAAGTTACTTAGCACAGATCAAAGTTAAAATAAAGACGTTTAGCAAACTGTTAAAGCACACAAACCATTGTCATATGAGAAATCTGACGCTATGACTCTCCACAAGTTGTCCTTCAGGTTGTTATCTTTGTAATATTTGTGTTTTTTTAATCAAAAAGCACTCTGTTCCTCGACACGTAAACAATCAGCCGGTCGGCCATGTTTGATATACCAGTGAATCTAACACGCAATCTGATTGGTCAGAAGTGGACACACAGGATGCGAAACTTTAGAAAAATCGACCATGATCCGAAAAAATAAATGCCGCAATATCGGAGGATGGGAAAACGTCGCTGGTGTGAAGGCTTGTATTGACAGGATATGGGTTCGAAAAAAGTATTGATGTCCGAAATATTCGCACGACAAAAACGGTCCCTGTGTGAAAGGACCTTAAGCCTAGCCTGGCTGGGCCATCCTGAATCCTGAATCACTTGCCGGGAAGGAACGGCAAGTGATTCACGCAACAGGATGGCCGGGCCAGGCTACCTTAAGCCACCATTGCCTCACCAACAGGGGACTGAGCAAAGAAGCTTGTCAATCTAAAGTCTAGATCCACTACTAAATTCCAAAAAGTCCTGTCTTCACATGCTAGTTTAAACATCAGATAGCGAGATAAATAAGACATTATCGTCAGAAAACAACCGGGAATTCCATATGAAACGGGGGAAATTTGGTAAATAACATGTAGGGAATGTCTGCTTGTGGCTTCCGTATATAAAAAAAAAAACAGAAGCAGAAAACTTAATTTCTGTGAATCACGATTTTATTGATCAAAAACAAAGTAAGAAATTTGGTTATTATTGTAAGTAAATTTAAATGACAGTGTTTAGTGTTTACTTGCTATAAAACGTGCCCATCCCGTGTCCTCTTAAAGTTAACTGTTCCCATGGCAACAACATCCAGCCGTTGGCACGTCACTGCTGCTTTCTATTGTCCACTAAACATGCTGCTAAAAGGAGAGCTGCTCTGATCCCTGTAGTCAAACGATTAACAGAGTGAGTCCAGCTTCACACTTTTCACTTTTCCTGTGACTTTCTGCGATATGTGTTACTGTCTTTCATGCCTGTGAGCAGATTCAACGACGTTTATTTGTTTGTTTTGTGCCAGCGCTTGTTAGCAGCTAGCTGGCTAAGCTAGTCCAACTGCGCTCTGTGGATAGCATGTGTTCTGCTACACATGTTAATGCATTAAGATTCACCACTGGACTTCGGTGCCACTGTTGCCGAACCAGGATGTAATACAGTCGATTCTGTGGTCAAACTTTGTTCTGTATGAAGCGATACATATAACACCGTGACGTGACGGGAAATGCTACAGCTAAAGCTAACTTAGTTAGCTAGTTAGCTGCGGTGCTTGTAAGGGGTGTATGAGAAGACGAGATGAAACCGTATTGTGAGTTTGTGTGACTGCTGACATGTGTATCGACTCCTTAGAGCTTCTGTGGATTCAGTATATTGTCTGAATAGTTTGAAATGTTAAGCTTTTAGTATTCAGTGTTAATAGGCAGTGTAATGAGTATCACAGCATTCATCATTTGTCCTCATTTCACCCTCAGAATCAGATTTTGTACTACTGAAGCTGTTTGACTAAATCTGATTGAACTAGTGTATACCTGTCTGACTATAGGTCAGACTCAGAGGTCTGTGTGATCTGAGTGAGTATAAACAAATTCCAGTCTCAAGAAAGTGAGAAGGGGTCATGATTCAGACCAGAAACACCAGCTGATGCAGTGGTTCTCAAGTCCAGTCATCGAGGTCCACTGTCCTGCGCGTTTTGGATGTTTCCCTGCTCCAACACACCTGATTCTAATGATTAGCCCATTATTAAGACATTACAGAGCTTGATAACGAGCTGATCATTTGAATCAGGTGTGTTGGAGCAGGGAAACATCCAAAACATGAAGGACAGTGGGCCTCAAGGACTGGACTTGAGAACAAGTGAGCTGATGTAAAGTGTCTGTGTAAGTTCTCATTCAACAAGGTCATGGTTAGACCTGTGTTATAGTGATCCCAGGATGAAACTGTAGGCTGCTGTAAATGGCTTGTACCAAAAAAAGTCGTGTGCAAAGCCACCAAACGTAATCCACATGAGATTAACTTCAACTGTGACATCACAAATTGATAAATCCATTAAAGAGGGCCTAAAAAGAATAATATTTACCTGTTCTTTGTTGCTTAAGATTACTTGGTCTCTTTTCAAAATTGTTCTGGTCAGATTTAATGCAACATGCTATTGTCCATTGAAGATGGAGAAATTTTGGTTAAGACACGACTTTCGCTGTGTCCAAAATGAGTCACTCAATCCCTAACCCCTAACCCCCATATGGGATTTTAATATATAGTTGACTATGTAGTGTACTCAATTACCGGAGGTTTCAGACACTACATGGCAAGACGCAATGCATGACGGGATGCCCACCACCGATGAGTGACCATCGGATGGTCACTACATTTTGCAATCCTTTATGGGAAATTTTGAGTCACCTATATAAGGCACTGGAATTGATCACTGAGGTTTTGGACACCCCTCAAAATGGGGCTAACCCCCATATAGTCGCCTATATAGGTGTTAGGGATCCATTCCGGACACAGCCTGTGACTTTGTTTCAGGGCAACAGTAGAGGAGGTTTCAGGGGTGGCTTAAAGAGACAGTAGCTAAAATAGAGCATTTTAGACAGAGGCTGACATGAGGATTTGCAAAGATGCCAATATGAAAAAAAATATTGTTTTTTAATTATTATAAGGTGTTAGAAGGACAAAATAAGGAATAAAATTGAGCATGAAATGCCCTCAGGGTATGAACTCAGTGTGATTACTGGCCAGTTCAATGCAAAGGTGCAGATAGACATGAATTTGTAGTGGGTGACGTTGAATTTATACCAGTTAAACTAAACTTGGGTAACAGCTGAACATGCACAGATAAATTGGCTGGCCGATTGATCGGTGCCAATCTCCTGAATTTTGAGGGATCAGTGATCGGCTGATCCTTAGATATGAAGCCGATTTTATCCACCAATCTTATCTACCTTAGCAAAGGTCTGAAAGTCAGCCGTTGTAGTTTTTTGCTCTGCCAGAATGACAGTCTCGCCCACCAGGCGTGTGCACGCGCGCATGCGTCAGCGGCACACATAACAGTCATCCAGAGCATGATGAACCAAGTATGTTGAACCCACTACATGGAATCCTAAAACTCAGGACACTTTATTGGTGATTTAAGTTGTGTTGTTAGTTTGTCAGGTAGATTATTATTTTACTAACTTTCTCAAACCTTGTGATTTCCTTGTGTGCAGCTAAAACAAACACAAAAAGTTTGCATTGTTTCACAAGTATTATTCAATGTTTTTTATTAAAATAAGATTGGAGCATCAAAGGTGTATGTTGTCAGTTATAGAAAAAAAAAAAAAAGGTATAGACCAAAATCGGTATCGACAGGTCAAGCTTTTTAAAGATCGGAAAATTGTGATTGGTGCACCCCTAGTAACAGCTTAATCTGGTCATTTTGGGTTAATCATGCTGTGCTTTAGTGTTGACTTGTCCTTTGACAGCTTTAATCGAGCACTGGTAATTTTGGTCTACCCTGATGCATACCTGTGCTGATCCAGACTTGGCTAACAGTATCAGGCCATCAAACTGGGCACATGTCAGGCTACAGTCACTGGAAGCTGCAGACCAGTTTGTCCAAACACAGTTTATGTAGAAAGAGATAAAATTACCAAACGATGTGCACCTCCAGGAAAAGGCTGTGCTTGTTTTAACACAGATCTGGAGTCACAGATCTTTATGTTGTGTGAACTGTCCAAAAAAGTAATTTAAATGATCCTGCTGTCAAACTTTAGCTGTTAGCATGAGCAGAAAGTGCTTTGGCTCCAGTCTGAGCACAGCATAAGAGTGTAACTGGGGTCTTGAAATGCAGTATCTGATGTGCTGCTGTTGTTAATTCTCAGTGTTATGTCCACCCCTAGTACGCTGCTGCTGTTGCTGTGGTATCACTGATTCTTACTGACACATGCCACTACTTATCATGATATATTGCCTCAGTGGGCCTTGTATACATGAGATGCTCCTCATGCTCACTGGCAGATGCTGCTCTCCTCAGACATCTACTGATGGTGTGTCAGACTTGTTTTGGTGGTTGATTACTATTGTGATTGTTTGTGGTGTGCCCCTTACAGAGTTGTACTGTTGTAGTTCTCTTAGTTTATATAGTGGAAAGTGGAGCCTGTCACTTGTGGCCCACTGACAGGTACTGCTTAAAACCGGTATCATTGTGGTCAAGGGAGGGTGCTGGGGTTGTTTGTACAACAAGAGAGCTGTCCCATATTTATGTGCTATATGCCAGTTAGGGCTTGGCAATATGGGAAAACATTTATCACGATATAAAAAAATCACTTGCCAATCTTAAATGCTACTTATGTTTGCGTGTAGGTGCAGCCTGCAACTATGCAGGTGTTTGCTACTTCATTCTAAATTAGCACATGATGGGTTCAGCACAGTGCGGACCTGGAGAAACTCCCCTTTTCATTGACTTTTTATATAGTCTACCAAAACATGGCAGAATGCCGGCTATCAAAAACCATATTGACCATGTTTCATATTGATATTAAGGGAAATTAATTTTCTATATATATCGTTATCATTTTATCGCCCGATCCTAATGCCAGTAAACAGGGTTGCACTAGAAGTCCAAAAAATCTTTGTAATTTTCTAGTAGTCTAAACAGAAAATGAAAGTAACTAACTTGCTTATTGATGAAACACTCTCAGAGAACAACCAAAATTTAGCACAATTTATCCTACAGGCTCAAAGTTTGCAGGTAAACAATGGCAAATGGGTGTACTGCCTGTGTGTAACATTGGCAGAGGTAGCACACTTGAAACATCCATATTCTTTGTCATATTACCATAAGAGTTTTTAAAAAGTTGTAGAAGAAAAGTTTATTATATTTTACATTTGAAGAAGAAATCAATAAAAAGTTCAGATCTATTTGTGCAAGTCTTTACAGGGATATAGTTCTAGTCTCGATTATACATGTACTCATAATAGTTGAATCAAAAGCCTTCTGATTTATCTTCCTTTGACAGTCTGTATGACACAGTCATAATCACTGTGAAGCTCCAAGAGCTTCTTATAATATTTCTGAGTGGGAGCAATCATGGTATGGTAACACTTGAATGACAGGATATCGAGGATAAAGGTTTCTCTAATTACCTGCTTCATACAGAGAGTTTTTTATACTTTGAGATCCAGATTTGACATCCTGTTGGGAGGACATCACAGCTCACTTACACTTTTTAAAATGTATTCCTCTTTCTTTCTTTCAGTGGACCGCAGTTTGAAGCGCCGGCAGGTGAAGCCACTTGCTGCCTCTCTGTTAGACGCCTTGGATTATGACAGCTCAGATGACAGTGACTTTGAAGTGGGAGATGCCACAGGTAAGCCCAGTCTGTTTTATGTCCAGGAGCGTCATATTTATACCACCAGACATCCTCATTAAACATGAAAAGAAGTGGACCTCAAAGGCAGAATTTTTTAGGCATATAGAAGCCTTAAGTTTGACCTGTACGACATACAGTGTTTTTCAATCCATCACTGCTGTGCCATCTGTGTTACAGCAGTACAAGTTTTTCACTAGACAGAAATCCACTCTAGCCAGCTTACCCAAATCAAAATCATTATATTAAAGACGCCACATGACGCAAACTTCTTCAAATGCATAGTGTGAAAAAAACAACATGGCAAAATACCAAGCTGTGAAAAATTGATGCATAGTCTCTTTCAGTTGTAGTGCACATGACTGTCTAAAATTAGTAAAATGAGTATTGTCTATGTGTGGGAAATACTACATTACTTTCTTCTTTCTTCTGTCTTTTTGACAGGATCAGACGGCACGGGTAACGGCAGTGATGAGGAGGGGTCCAAAGCGAGCGCCGCAGGTTCAGAAAGCGACTCAGACAATGCAGGTTCTGCAGAAGACCCTGTTGATGAGGAGGCGAAAGACCTGGCAGCTGAGGAAAATCTGACTGAAGATGAGGAGAAGACCAAACAGCAGTCTTCCTCTGATAGCCCCACCAAAGACACTCCTGCTGTCACGCCGCCCAAGAGTCGCCGCAAGAACAAAAAGGCGTCAGAGCCAGAGCCCGCTGCAGCTGCCGATGCTGAGTCTACCGCAACCTCAGGCTCTGGAAACAACAACAACAACAACAACGCAGAGGAGTCACAGGCCGAGCCCAAGAAGTGGAACTTCCGGAGAAACCGCCCCCTGCTGGACTTTACCACTATGGAGGAGCTGAATGAGATGGACGACTACGACAGCGAGGACGACAACGATTGGAGGCCCACAGCTGGAAAGAAGAAAGGAAAAGCAGCCACTCAAAAAGGAGGGACTGAGGAAGAGGAGGGTGGGAGCGCCAGTGATGATGATGATGACGATGATAATGATGATGATGATGATGACGATGACGACGATGATGATGAAGATGAGGATGAGGAAAAGGAAGAAGGTGGTGAAGACAACAACAGCAGCAGTGACAGTGAGAAAGAGGTGAAGAAGCCCAAGAAGAAGACGAAGAGCAGCAGCGCTTTTGACGAAGAGCTGACTAATGACAGCATGTCACAGGGAAAGGGCAACGAGGTAAACACTAATGGAGTTTTACAGAGTCTGATGTATTCCCATGAAAAAAAGAGAATCAAAAAAACTTTGTTCTTTGGCTGCAGATCTGCAGAAACCAAACGAGGGGCAGCAGTGTAGTCTTGAGTGTGTGACGGCACCTCATTCCTGCATCATACAGACAAAATTCTCTCAGCTCTTTGGCTGCACAAACATATTTCTTACAAAAGTCATCAGATCTTTCTATTCTATTAAAGGGTAATTCCTCTACTTTTATACTTGGGCCCAAATCACAAATATTAGAAACTTCCAAACAGGCTGTAGCAGCTGGACTGATCTACTATCAGTCCAGCAGGTCTGCTCGAGGACTTTTGCATTATTTAGGCTGAGATGCTTGAATCTAATGCAGTCTTTAATCTTTGTTATAAAGACGGTGCAGATGAGTTAGGCTTACACAATAGCTACTCTGTTTGGCACCAATGACACCGACAACAATACAAGTCAGAGAGTCGGCGTATAATCCACTGACAGGTTTAGATGGTATCAGAGGAGAATTTTTGCCTTTGTTGTAATCGACTTAGCGCTGCGTCCGCAAGCATTGTTTATGGGATTTACTAACTGCCAGTTACTGGATCTGCACCCGGATCAAGGGGAGGGGGCGTCCGATAAATGGCTTTACCGAAGCTCTGCTTCCTGATTTCCCAGGACGCCTTGCTGGACAAGTCCCAGCCCTGGAGCACTCAGCACATCCTCATCTGCTGCGTGTGTCTGGGAGACAACAGCGAGGATGCAGATGAGATCATCCAGTGTGACAACTGTGGGGTGACTGTGCATGAAGGTAAGCTGAAATTAGGCCAGAATATGAAAAACAGAGCAGAAGAGTCATGCACAGGTGTTTCCTGAGACTAGAGTCAAATGTTTTAGAAACACCAGAACCTCTGAATGACACTGGACATGTCTGTATGACTCTCCAAGTCTTTCAGAAAAAGAGCTGAGAGCATGTTTTGGTTCTTTTTTCTTTGACTTTCCTTTCTTTATTATGGGTTTTGTTTTCAAAGGCTGTTACTGATCAAGAACATGACAGGGAGTTTACGTGTCTTGTTGAATTCAGAAAATCATCGATTACTGATAATATTTTAGTACTTGATGGAAAGGTCACAGGTTCAAAATCTGATCCAAAAAGTGAACTTTATTTGTGATGAACTAACTAATGTGTAAAGGTGTCCATGCTGCAGAAACTTGAGTTATGGTACCCCCGCCTTAACTTGGTCTGAGTGAGAAAAGAAGTATAAATCATGAATAGCGAGGATTTACTTTTTTGAGATCAGCTATAGAAGAGGAGGCATATTGTTCATGCTGTAGCTCACTCCTCTTACGCGTCTTTAACAACTTGATTAAATAATTGAGTTTAGTTTGACTTCCCATGAAGCTCTCACACAGCATTAGTCCTTAGGTTCTCACGAATAACTTACCCACTAACCAGCTCTTTGTCCATTTGGTACAAAGGACGGCTGATTTTTGGAGCTTTTAATTCTCTAAAAGCAAGATGTACGTTAGAGACCCAACACAACACAACACAGCACAACAGAACACATCACATGCAGTTTGTGTAATTGTGTTAGAAACAGTGTAAGAGAGTCTGAGAGGAATAAACTTCTTGTTTCAGCTCAATCAGCTGAGTGAGTCTGACCACTTGGAAAGAGATCGATGGCTGAGTCATCTCTTTGAGATTGGACTTTTCTCAGACATCTATAGTCACAGCTGACCATGCAGAGTGGATCAATGGGACTCCACTGATTTTCAATCACTTCATTTATTATTTTATTTCCTTTTACTTGGACCAATTGAAAGGCACCAGACAAAGAAAGGTAGAGGGAGAAGAGCTACTTCCTCTCGCACAGATAGAAATGTTTGTATTGAACTCATGAGTCAGCAGCTTCTGGATTTCAGGACAGTTTCTGACAATCAGTGAAAAGTCAAATGAACATTATATGAGAGCTCTGCTGTAGGTTTTGGACCATTATTCTATTCTTTATGCTAAAGAATTAACAGCTGGATTTAATCTGTTCTTTAGGATCAGAAGAACCTGTTATCATTTAGGGTTAGGATATTAAAGTTGCTCCACGGTGTGTCAGTGCAGTGTGCAGACGTTATTTATGTGTCATTTCATCTGTCTGAGGAGCACAGATACTGGCTGATGCTTATTTCAAAAAGCCATTAATTGCCCTGCTTAATCTGTCTTGTCTCTGGAACCTGCTCAGGTGTGTGGATGTTAACCTGCAGGGAGGCCTGAAAGCTAGCCCAGCTAACATCAGCCACACTCATGTAAACCATCTGAAAGTGACACCTGAATCGTGTCCTGAGATTGAAAGCTATTCTGACCAATCAAATGCTTCATTTAGTGGTTGAGGTTGTTCCTCTTTACGCTGCATCATGTTTTACATGATGTGTGTGGTCCTTAAATTGTCAGTTATTTCATTATTATTAGACCACTAAGTGTTTTTCCTCTCGAGTACCTCGTGAAAGTTGAAGAAAGTTCGACCAGTTTAGTGATGAAATTACAGCACTGTAGTTTTGAGCACTGGAAATGATCAGCAATGAGCTGCCACCATGTTGACATCTGTCTGTAATCACACAAACTAACACTCAGCCTAACATGAATGTGACTGGCTGAACTCTATCAGAGTTTAGCCTTGAAAGCAGAAGCACCTTTGAGCAAGACTTGTCAGATTATCTCAGTTATATGATACACACACACACACACACACACACACACACACACACACACACACACTAATGGAGGGTGGGAACTGTCCTAATCACCAATTCTCCATAGGCAGACAGGAGATATTAGGAGCAGGTCTTAAATTTATCTTGTTCGTTTGGTCGGCTGATATTTTCTTCCTCTGAGACATGGCTAATCTTTCTGAAAAGACACACAGGGGAGACTAAGTGGTTTGCAGTGGCAGCACTTGCGGCCACTTCCTATCTTGCTCTCCAAGGACATGAATAGTGCTCTCCTTTTTCCCGGGCAGTGAAATATGGAACTTAATTTGAGCCATAAGTTTGGAGTTTCTGTGTACTCGTGCTCAAAGTGGACAGATCTATTGTGCTGTTGGAGGTTTAATTCAGCAGCTCAGCTATTTTTTGTCACCTTGTATATGATGCTATCCGTGAGATTTATAGCAAAGCACTTCATCTCCCAGCATTCCTCCTTACACTGCTGAGTTAAGGCAATGTGTAAAGGTCAATGGGTAGATTTGGGAAAAATAAATTATATGAGTTAATCATGCAGATTTCTGGATCAGAACAATGAGTAGAAACTGTGTCAGGAATAACCATGGCAGAGTTGTTAACCTGCAGATTTTCAGCTTTCATACCTCCTCTATCAGACTTTGTCTCATACTACTCCACCCACTGTAAAGGTTTATTTTCGTCATTTCAAACCTGGATTCAAGATATTTTGGCTATTAATGACTAATGGGTAAAAATATTTGACATTTTCTGAGCAGATTTCTTCAGCTATCAACCAGAACATCACCTCTAATTGCTGCAGCTAATCCTGTTAGTGGAAATGTTCCATTAATTTCCACTCATAATGGACCTGAAATCCTATATTTGATGCAGCGATATTGTTTATAACGTGTAAAGTTTGAGCTGAGGAGGGGAGGTGAACTCTCTCCAGCTCAGGTTTTGGCATTCCACGTGTGGAAAAATCAGGAAATGTAAAACATGAGACTGGTGTTGCCTAATGAAGCAGTTTGGTGTTATTCTGAAAAGGGACGTTGCATTCAATCAACTATCAAGCTCTTTCAATCCAGCCAGTTGGCGTGAGAATTATTAGATGATTAAGCTGTTAGTTATATTTGCCTAAAAAGAGGGTTGTGTGTAAGCTGTAACACTGCGGATAATATAGGAAAATAAGAATATCCATTTACCTTTAAATGTTTTATAGAAAAATGAATGTTCAGAAATGAAAAAAAAAAACAGCGCACATTCTTAATGTTTGATGCCATGATGCTATAATGCTCTACCTGAGCTTGACCTTTTTGATGGTTTCAGGGTGTTAAGTTTTTTCACCTTTAAACTGACAGTGAAGTCAGATTTTCCATTTCAACGACTGGGTTGTTAGCCGCTTCAGAACATTTCCAATACTGCACTCACAAATGTTTGAAACCTCTTATTGAACCATTGCATATGATTCAATTCACAACACTGTAACCGGGCTGCTGCAACCCTAAATAAGAAACTCTTTCCTGACACGAAAATCTGCGACTGTTTGTTGCTTGTTTGATTTTTTGACCTCTGTAGGTTAAGATGATGTCATCCACCTTTACTGAAAAGGTGTTCCCAGAACATGTTTGCTCATTTTAGACATCACAGAGTGACTTGTCCAAGCAAAAGGCGAGGTCATACAAGGGGACGGCTTTGAGGCAGAGATGAGAGACATGCTGTCAGGATCTGGAGCTCATACCAGTCAGTCTTGCGGCTCAACTTCACTGCCTCTCTTTGTTGTTGCGTTTGCACCACTGTCCGGACACCATCACTCCCTCTCAGACAAGAAGAGAGGCTTACATGAAAGGTAGGCACACCAGACCTGAGCAAGAGATCAAAAGCTGGAATAGGCAGAAGCGTCTCCACAGAGCACACAGAGGAGTCCTGTTCTTCCCAGCCTTTCTTTGATTATCACACTCCAGCCAGCAGTACAGGCACACATCATTACCATACCACAAGTTCTCCTTGAAGCCTTTTTTTGCTTTGGACTGTAAATGCTACAGCAGGCACCTCCTGTCAGTGAGTTTTTCTCTAACTGTCTCTTTATTTGGTTTGAATTTAGTGATTGCATGTTTATTCCTTTCTGAGGGCAACATGTTTTTGCAACCAGAGATTGTTGAAAAGGCAAATGCTGATTGTTTATACATAATCTAAAAGAGTTGACGATTTCCTGATCCAATGATGTTGATTTATGACCAAAATCCCACACAAACTCAAAACATTCATGCTCTCAGAAAGATTTTTTCATGACACAAAGTCAGGTAAAAGTTCAGCAAAAGTCTTGCAGAATTTCGCGAAGTTAATTTGCAAACCTGCACAAGACTTGACAAAGATATTGGTGGCAAAGTTGTAAAAATCACAGTCAGTGACGCACACCCATTAGGTTCTCCAAAATTGTTTAGGAAGCAGTCACTACATTCCTCGTTTCAATTCCGATTCCTATCGATTCTGATTCTTTTAAAAGGCAGGATATGTCTATGGAAAAGTACAAAGGCTAACGTTAGTTGGATATTTAAGTTGACCCACCGTACACAATACAAAGTTAGCAGAAGACAGAAGTATTTTATTGTTTCACTTATCTGATTCTGGCTGGTTAGTGGAAGACCGGTGTTGTGCCGTAGAATGCATCCCCTTCACTCATTAATTTCTAAAAGTGGAAGAAATAGATCATGACAACTAGTGGTGCAACGGATCACAACACTCACGGATCGGATCGTTCCTCGGATCAAGAGTCACGGATCGGATCATTTTTCGGATCAGCAAAAAGCAGTTTTGTCTGTATATTAAACACTTAAATGGTTGAATTAAAATATATAAAAGTAGTACATACGGCATAATATCTTCTTTTCAACATAATTATTAATGAAAAACAACTTAAAGTGCAATATATAGGCATATCTCCTTCCTTTAAAATGTAACAATGAACCAAAAATGAAGTATGTGCGCGGTGGGATATTGTAACGTGGCTCAAGCACTTTCAGCATGTTTTTAAAGCCCTCGTTTGCACAACTGAATATGGCCTCATGTCTGTAGCTATAAACACACCGATAGCGTTTGTGATAGCTTTAACCCGGTCGGATTGCGCAGGAAGAGGCTGCTTAAATGCTGCGGTGATGAGCGGTTGCTGGCCAGCTTTCGTTTTATCTCAGGTGTTGTGACATAGAATGCACCCCTGCCGTAGAATGCACCCCCTGACGGGAGCGCGGTTTAAAGTACATAACGAGGAGAAATAATCCAAGTTTTTCTTACATTGGATGGATTCAAAAGCGTTTGCCTGTAATAATTTCATTCAGGCTATTCAAAGAAGCCAAAAACAAAAGCCCTTGGAATATTGCTGTCCCGAAAATATAATGCTCTGTACCTGGACAGCTTTCTGTACAGTTTATACCCAAGTACACCTCTATATTTGCATTTTTGAGACACATAAAAAGAAAATGAAAGTTTGCTGCTCCATTTGACATGTTGTCATGATCTAACACTCGTGTTTCTTTAAATATGAGATCATTATCTCCACTTTAAGAAGCTAACGAGTGGAGGGGATGCAGGGGTGCGTTCTACGGCAGGGGTGCAGTCTACGGCACAACACCTGTCATTAAAACACCCGGGTGATGTTGCTTTCAAATGCGTGAACATGCTCGATGTGTTTCCACTGTCATATGGCTTTCTTATGCCACAGTGCCTACACACCTTCGCAGTTTTGTCCACTGACCTCTTTCCTTCCTCATCATAGTTGACAGGGAAGCCAAATTTTTTTTTTCAGAAATCGAACCGCGGGTAACGTGTGTGCTGAACCGATGACGTCGATTCGAACGGATCACGGATCAATGATGATCCGTTGCACCACTAATGACAACGTGTCAAATGGAGCAGCAAACTTTTGTTCTGTTTTAATATGTCTCAAAAATGCACATATAGAGGTGTACTTGGGTGTATACACTGTACAGTAAGCTGTCAAGGTAGAGAACATTATATTTTCGAGACAGCAAATATTCAGAATCAGAGGGCTATTGTTTTCGGTTTATCTGAATAGCCTGAGTGAAATCATCAAAGGCACACGCTTTAGAATCCATCCAACGGTAAGGAAAACTTGGATTTTTTTTGCCTTGTTATGTTCTTTCAACTGCGCTCCTGTCAGGGGTGCATTCTACGACACAACACCGGCGAAGCGCGTCAAAAACAGGCACTCGGGTATTTCTCCTCCATGAATCCTGAGGTGTTTAATCATGTTGGTCGTTTACCCTCCTTTTTATGATATAATTGTGTTGCTAATGTTGCACTGATATAAGAGTTCACTCTTTCTAAAGTTAGCCAAACTTTTGACCGCAGCCACTGTGGGTTGCAATGTACTCTTGCTCTCTGTCTCTCTTCTCTCTCTGTGAGGCTTCGTCTCATACGCTTCTTCCTCGTTGCTGTTTGGCGGCGTCTTCCTCGTTGGTGTTTGGCAGCTATTTCTTCCAGTCGGCGGACTCCGGTATCGAAACTTGGAATAGAAATTTTAAAATTTGAACGATTCTGGGAGAATCAAAAGGTTAGTCCAGGTCCCCATCAATGCTTGAGTCTCGATACCCAACCCTACTCACGTCCACTGAAAGAAGAAAAAAGCCTCCTCTTCTGCTTTTGAATGTTATTGGTCATCTCCTGTCTTTTCCTCTTCACTCACTCATGAACTAAAATTCAAAAGTAACTATTTACAAATAAAACCTATCAAACATCCAGATATATTGTGTTTGTAAAAAAAAGCCTTTTGACTCCCTTTCACTTTTTCAGGCCCCCTCACATGAGGATGGCCCGTATTGTCTTGGCGTCGGCACCAAAACATGTATCGCTGTTTACACATCGTATTGTACATAGGCTTAGTGCATTTACATGACAACGCAAAATCCACGCAAAATCCTGTAGTACATATGCCCGGCCTTGGGGTGACACTGTGAAATTGCCACAGAGCACCAAAAACAGAGAATGCACATACATACATGCTGTGTGTGACAACGTGGGTTGGGGGGCGGGGAGGAGGAGGGGTGTTATGAAGTCACTGTCTTTTCCGGACTTAATCTATACACACCAACTATGGCATGAAGACGAATACCCAGATATCCAGTCCCCCCCCCCCCCCCCCCCCCCCACACACACACACACACACACACACACACACACACACACACACACACCAATTACTTTGGTGCGTACTATCTGAGTATGCAGATAGTTTAGGAGTATCTTAGTAGCTCAGGAGGTAGAGCGGTCCTCCAATAACTGGAAAGTTGGTGGTTCAATTCCCCCATATCCCTAGTCTGTCTCTTGTGTCCTTGGACAAGACACTTAACCCACCTTGATCCCAGTGTGTGTCCTCCATAAGGGTATGATTGTGAGTGATGTTTGGTGGCAGTCGGAGAGGTCGTAGGTGCGAATTGGCAGCCACGTTTCCATCAGTCTGCCCCAGGGCAGCTGTGACTACTAAGGTAGTTTACCACCACCAGAGTGTGACTGTGTGAGTGAGTGAATGAATGAATGATGTATCTAATGTAAAGTGCTTTGAGGGTCGCTGATAAAGCATTATATGAAATCTGATACATTATTTATTATTTAGTTATTCTCAATGTTGAAAAATGCAGAATTTTATTAAAAGTAAGAAGGAAGGACTGTTCTGTTTTCAACAAGGCTTTTATCAACTAAACAAGTCATGATAGATCAGCAGACCTGACCTCCACACTTTAGTCTGCTGTGTCTACGACTGAATATGAACAAATAAGAGTTGAATTGAAAGAAGTTTGTGGTTCAATGTGAAGTTTTCTCCAAACTTCTGAACGGATGTTTGAATTTCAAATGAAAAATAACGACTGTAATGCTGTCAAAGTGTTTTTCTTGAACCTCCAGCTCGTCAGTAGCAGGATTGAAAATAACCTCAAAGTAACCGAATCACATCACCCCACTGAAAACAGCTTTTTTTGTAACTGATAGCTCTTGTCTTCTTACCCACATGATTACACACTCTCTATCTACACCCTGTGAAAGAAAAGCAAACATTTCTTTCTATTAAATCTCAATTCAGTTAAAAGTACTCTACCGGTTCAGTCAACTCTACCTTGCCCCTTCTTTTTTCCTGCCAAGCTCGTCATTTCTGACAAGGATAATCTTTCCTCCAGGGATTATGAAGCTATCCTGTAGTCATCACTTTTTGTCAGCTTAGCTCATATTAGCCAGCAACCCGTGGCTTAGCGGTCTGAGCTTTGTATCCCAGTTCAAAAGGAACACCCAAGATTTGTGCCACGGTTCAGCCATAAGTCGGTTAAACCTGCATGGTGGTCGTTTACAACCCCCAGTTTCATGGTTCAAAGCCCAATCAGTGAAGATGGAGCCCAGCTGCTGTTAAAGGTATTCCACTAATACCTTTCCTTAAGAAAATAACTGTTGAGTGGAGCCTCATGCTGTGGAGGAAAATGGAGGCACCAGTTAAGTCCACATCTTGGGTAGTTAGATACTCAGATGCACTTGGATTTGAAGGTCAGGATAGAGTCCAGCTGTGTCTTAATTGCCCCAGAGGAGTAATCAGCAGCTTGATTGGTGTGTCTTGCATTTGAGTCGATCTGGAGGAGAAACCAGTGGCCTGTAAACACTGAAGGTGAACCCCACCAGCTGAGAAAGAGCAGAGTTCAAAATTAGTGATTCACTGTGACATGGAGCAAATGGTACACTCAATCAGAAAAGGACATGCAATAAACAACTCCGTCTGCTCTAGTGTTTGCTTTCCATGAGCCGCCTGGCTCCCCGGTGTGGCTGGCAGTGACAGGCATGCAGAACATCCAGCTTTTGATTTGTGAGTCTTTCCTATTGCTCAAAAAGCCTGAAGGCTGGTGGACTGAATTAGGAGTTAGAGCGTTATCTCCCCAACGGAGGCAGAGCACTGATTGCTGCCCTCATTGGTAGTGAAGAGCACGTCTGCCTGGTGTAATAGCTGCCATAGAAACCACATCAGCCAAGTAATTGTTTAGGCAACCTCAGAAAATTAAGAGGACAACATTGAAATTCTTTCGCTCAGCTCCTTCTTGCTTAATTTTTTTATCAAATGTTCAATTTGTGGTGCTGCAGTGTCACAGCAGATTGACAGCTTCAGGCCAGAGCAGACCAGGTCTCTTTCTGCATTTGTTTTCTGCTCCGTTCTCAGAGTGTTGGAAAATTAAACCACATGGTAGCATGAAATATACGACAAAATCAACCATTTCCACACAGGACAAACATCAAAGCTATGCTAATGTAGCTGAGACCATGTTCTGCTTTTAAAGGGTCTGGATGCTGATTGGTTCCAGTTTTCTTCTCTAATGTACAGTAGCTAGCCTTGTATGGCTCTTATATGACATCGGAATTTGCTGGAAATCATTGGTTTTTAATGCAGAGATGGAAGCAAAGCCATTAATCAAGGATTTCCCAGTCCACATCCTGCAGCTCTTATTTTACATTCCCCATTTCCCAGTACGTGTTCTGTATCTGCACTCAGAGTTCTGAATTGCCTCCTACATACTTCAGTCTGTATCCGGCAAACGATATTTTCAAATTAAAAAGGTGTAAACCAACCGTCTTTGAATCGACTTACAAGACTTTACCAGAAAACATTCAATTTAACTCAACTCAACTCAACTTTATTTATAGAGCACTTTAAATGCAAACAAAGCTGACACAAAGTGCTGTACATAACATAAAAAGATACAACAACAATAAATGGTTGTTTTAAAATAGAATAAAAAAAGCAATAAAACAATAAAAAACAAAACAAATGCCGTCTCATGCTGGGTCAGAAGCTGAAGAATAAAAGTGGGTTTTTACACAGGTTTTTGGGTTTTAGCTCTGAGCAACGCAGAGAGTGCAACAGGGTTATGAAGCTGTTTGAATTATAAGCTGTAGACTTCAACAGAAAACACAGATGAACAAACTATAAAGAGAATTTTTAAAAACTATCTTCATCATATAAACTTAGCACAACCAAATGGCTGCTGATAACCTCGAGTATGTTTGACTGCGTTATTGTGGCAGTTCAACTGTAATGCAGCAAAAATTCCAAACTGGAAACTGAAAGTTGATCCCATCCTAGTGACCAGATATTACATGACCAGGGCGTGTTTCAGTGGCAGGAAGTCCTTGTTGGTGGAGCTGACCCAATGAACAGAGGCGAAGACTTTATTGCCATCACCCTGTTTTAGGGCTGCACGATTACTTGATTTGAAATCATAATCAGGTTATTTGATTATGATGTTAAATAAATGTAATTGTCAAATTGATTTTCCTCTCCCTTCCTGCGGAGGTGCTCCCCAGTTCCCACACACACCAGTGTAAATAAAGATGGCGTTTGCAAATGAAGGTGATAATTTCGAGGCTAAATAGGACAAGAACAAGTCAGTCCTGTGGAACTAGTACGGCTTTGCAGTTCCAGATGAAGAGTAAACCAGTCCCCACTACAAAGTCTGTCTAATGGCGGTATTAATCCGTCCACATGTTCCCAGCCTTGAATGTATTCAGGAGTAAATGCAAAGGTTTTTGTTGTATCGCTGTTTCATCCACATGGACACAGTGACTTGAGTGACTGTAAATAGTACTTTTTGAAAATGGGTGAGGTAGTGCATAAATCCATAAACGACTACTATACGCTTGCTCCTTGCTCTTCTTCTGTTTTTTGCACAGTTCCTCAGCAGCGTTACAGCGCCACTTACTGGCGCGGCATATGCACATAATTTTCAGTGGTTTTGTTTTGAGAGATGATAAAAAAAACGTATGATTAAAGTAAATTTGGTGAAGTTGTTACTGAATAAAAAATCGAAAATGAAATCTAAAATTGAGTTTTCAGAGAAAAAAATTGGGATTTTATTTGTGGCCAAAATCACGCAGCCCTACCCTGTTTTTAATCCTGGCCTTCTTCTGCCCTTTGCTGCATCTCTGTCCTTTCTTCTTTGAATTTCCTAGATTTTGTCGGTCCTCAGATTATTAATGAATAATTATTTCTGTTTGTATGTTTTTTAGGGTGTTACGGCGTGGATGGCGAGAGCGACTCCATCATGAGCTCCGCCTCAGAGAATTCGACAGAGCCCTGGTTTTGTGACGCCTGTAAAAACGGAGTGAGTCCCAGCTGTGAGCTGTGCCCCAACCAGGATGGCATCTTCAAGGAGACGGACGCTGGGAGGTGAGACACAGCCATACGCTGACCCGTCGGTCAGCTGCCATTTACCAAAAGTAGCGAGTGGAACATGTTCAGAAACAAATGATGCTTTAGTTAATGACTTCAGCTGGTTAAAATGCTGAAGGCAACATAAGAGGAGCCTGAAATTGTTCATATATTCAGGAGTGGAAAGAGGGAAGTTGGATTAAGGAGGAGAGGGAGAGAAGTGGCAGAGGAGTGAGGGAGGAGAAGAGATAGAGGAAGAAAAGGAGTGAGAGAAAAGAGTGTGTTATGTGAAGCGTGGAGACTTCAGCCACGTTATCGCTGATAGTGCTCCTCAGCCAGGCTGCACCCGAATTTACTACTTCACTAGAGCATGAAAAACACAGCAAATTAAACTGTGAAGCTGTTGCTTGCTAGAGATGGATATCTTTATATTGGACTTCGGATTCTCTTCCCTAAAGTCCGCATTTGAAATAGTGTCACAGCAGACTGTAGCTGGAGTCTGGGCCTGCAGAAATCTATGAATCCATTTCTGTCTGAAGTGTCTGCGTGACTCTCTGTCAGGCGGGTTGATGATATTAAGAGACATTGTCTGCAGAGAAACACCAGACTTAATGCAAACACAAACAGCCACAGTTTCTTCACCAGTTTGATGCTAGTTTTTGAAATCAGTGGTCAGAAATTCACATTTGTTTGGAAAATTATCTTCTGATCCGTCCCTTCAAAGTAAGAGTCTAATTTTGTGTTTCCAGATGGGTGCATGTGGTTTGTGCGCTTTACGTTCCTGGGGTAGCGTTTGGAGACATTGATAAACTCCGACCAGTGACTCTCACAGAGATGAATTACTCCAAATATGGGGCCAAGGTAAGACCTCCTTTAAATCCAGATGCATGTAGAAATGTGCGTTTATGTTTATTTCTGTGAACCTGACAGATTTGACGAATAGTGTAATAGTTGGACGAGGTCAGGTTTTGTGGGTCAGTGCAAAGACACTAAGAAATCCCAAACCTTTTCTTGAACCCAAAGTAGACATCAACAAAAACACTCGACAATCAGTCAAGTACCACAAAGAGCTTAAATCCAACTGAGATTTGTTATTATTTCTAAAGGAACAAAGACAAGAGAAAAGCAATCAGACTGAAAGTTCAAATCCAAGTTCAAATATTTTCTTTCAACAGTCCACAAAAAAATAACTCAGCAGTTCATCGGGGACACGCTCACAGCTTTCAGTTCACCTCAGTTCATGTTCATGTGAAGAAGTGTTGCAGTTCAAGGCAGAAACAAGGAGAAACAGAGAAAATCCTGCAGCAGTTACCTCAGGACAGATTTTTCTTTCAATCTTAAACTGTTCTTTGAATCGTTAAAACTTTATTGGAGTCATGATTTTAGACAGTCAAGTTAAAGCTGATAGAGTTTGTACCATCAGGATCATGGTTGGAGTTTGACTTGACATGCCGCTGTTATCCAGAAAAGCACAACCGTTCAAAGTTTCCATGACTACGTTGAAGAAGAGACAGCTTTGCTACTGTGTTCGCAGGTGAAATGTGAATAGTTATTCCTCTTGTTGTCTTGTGCTGAACTCAGGAGTGCAGTTTCTGTGAGGATGCCCGCTTTGCCAGGACTGGTGTGTGCATCAGCTGTGACGCTGGAATGTGCCGCTCGTATTTCCACGTCACCTGTGCGCAGAGGGAGGGGCTTCTGTCTGAGGCTGCAGCTGAGGAGGTGAGGAGAAGAGTCTGTGGATTCAGTCCATAAACACACATCATCATTTGTTCAACAGATTTATTTTAAAGACGTATAAAAAAGTATAAGATGTTTAAATGAAAGATAAGCGTTAAGTGGGAAGTGCTTCACAACCACCAAAGGATGGAACTTAAAGGTTAATATTCTCCGACCATCCTGCTCATGAATTCATGCATCAAACAGCCCTTCCTCTACACAGTTACAGAAAAGTATCCGCTAGCTACAAAACACTTGATCCAGCAAATTGCAATAAAAGACTTGTATTAAACAGCCAAACTGCTGATAATATCAATAGCTAAAAGAAGAGCTTAAAGGGTTCCAGCAGCAGACAGGGAGGGGGGTGGAGGGGAGAAGCTGGCATGTAAAACTTGTAGGAGCTGTGATGTTGGCAGTCCTCACTAATGATTATAACTGTTAATCTGTGCCTGATTTTGTTTCCTCAGGACATCGCTGATCCGTTTTTTGCATACTGTAAGCAGCACGCTGACCGCTTCGACAGAAAGTGGAAGAGGAAAAATTATCTGGCCCTCCAGTCGTACTGTAAGGTCTCTCTGCAGGAGAGAGAGAAACAGCTGACTCCTGAGGCTCAGGTGAGCTTCATTTAGTTGTACGCTTCTGCAGACCAGACAAACAAGTGCTGGTCGGGTCCAGATTGTTATTTTTCATGTCTGACAGAAATATTGAAAGGATCCCTGCAGAGATAAACCCTCTCTTAGAGCCTGTTATTGTGTGGCTGAGGTAAATATTTGATTCTGATTGACTGAGTTTTGATGCTGACTTTAATTTTGATGTTTTAAGTACAACGATTGGAAAATAATTCAAAAAAGGAACAGAAAAAAGACAGGAACCAAACCTGCCTCCTTCAAAGTGAAATCCTGTTTTCACCATGCTGCTTGGGGATCTTTCCGAGGGTCTTGTACTGGCTGTTTGTTGATCTTTCTCCATGCCAACAGATGAAGTATACCCCTCAATCTCATTAAAAAATGCTTTAGATGTGATTATCTGACTGTGGCATCAGAAGATGTTAGAGTGTATTTTTCTTAGGTCTCTGATGGAGCTCCTGAGTTTGCAGGATGGCCTGGACCCTTTTTTTGAATAGCAACTGAGGTGTGGTCCAATGCTGTCTCGCCCCGTTAGTTGACTAATGTTTGAAAGCAGCTGCAGAGCAGAAACTGGGATGTTTTGAAAACTGAGTTTACTTTTTTCTTCATGAAGAAGTTGATGTAGCACCTTCTGGTTTAGGTAAAGAATCTTAATAGAAGAAATAAGGTCCCTCTCTGTAGGTATCCTCATAGGAATGCTGTCAATCTGAACTGATTGGTGGTTTTTGTTTTTATTTATTTGCACATTATTAAAGAAAAAAGGTAAATCAAATAAATCATACGTGCAAATGAGGTAGAACCCAGAGAGGAAGTATCCCAAAAACCTCACCTTCAGGAAATAAACAAGGACAAAATGTTGCTCACACAAACTTGTGCATGTCAGCTCCATGAACAACCACTTGTGCTCTGTTAGGAAAAGCTAAACAGGAGAGTTTGTTCATGTGCCTGTGTGCAGGCCCGGATCACCACGCGCCTACAACAGTACAGAACCAAAGCAGAGCTATCAAGAAACACTCGACCTCAGGCCTGGGTGCCCCGCGAGAAGCTCCCGCGACCTCTGACCTCCAGTGCCTCAGCCATCAGGAAGCTGATGAGGAAGGCGGAACTGATGGGCATCAGCACCGACATTTTCCCCGTGGACACGTCCGATGCCAACGCCAGCTTGGACGGACGCAGGAAACACAAGCAGCCCGCCCTCACTGCAGACTTTGTCAACTACTACCTGGGTGAGGAAACTCAGAGTCAGGTTTTTAGAAATCAGAAATCTATGTGTGCAAAGACTGATGAGAAAGAGACGAAATAAAACCTGAATGCTGATGCTGGCAACTTCAAAACGCAAAATCACTGAGAACTGTCTTTGACAGCTTTTCGTATAGACCAAAGCTAAGGTGATGAAGCTCTTCTCATGCAGTATTTGTCGGCACATATACGTAATTTCTTTCTTGATTGTAATTTAAAGGATGCTGGAGGTGTTGAAGCGTTTATCTTCTGTGGGTGTGTGCTGTATTTTTGCACATTTTGCTGAAGTTTCTTTGTGACTGATGTTTAACGGCGCTCTCTCTGCCTGAATAAATCCTTTTGATGCCAGCTGTTGGAGATGCTGTGGCGGTAACCTTGAGAGCACTCTTGATTAGCCTGCAGCAGAGGGCCTATCTGCCATCAGTACACCCTCTCATGTGCATTTTCCTGTGTATAGATTGTGATCACTCTATTGATTTTCGTCCCATTGATATTCAGAGCGGAACATGCGAATGATCCAGATCCAGGACAACATCTCCGAGCAGAAGAACCTGAAAGACAAGTTGGAGAGCGAGCAAGAAAAACTGCATGTGGAGTACAACAAGGTGAGCCGAATTACAAGAAGTTATATCCTGATGAGTAGTTTAACATGTTTGTGCTAAGGTGACCATAGTTAAATAAGGAAAAACAGACAAACAACAGACCACACCAGCTAAGAATTCCTCGTTTTAATAAGCAGCAGTGGGCTAAAGCAGCCAGTGCTGTTCAGTTAAGGTTTATTTTTCAGTAAGCAGTTGTGAAGAGCTCCTGTGTGTTCGTGTTTGTGGGTTAAGTCTGCAGCATGGTAGGTTGTGAACTTGATGTACTCTGTGATTATCTTGATCAAAATGTTTGCACCAATGTGAAATTATCCACAGACGTCTCCTGCTCGCCAAAACAACAACAACAACAAAAACTAGAATTTTAGACACTTAAAATTTGTCTTAAATCACTTGATGTGAAGAAATCAGTGTTTTTCCAGCGCTCTAATCAGCAAAGACAGGACATAAGGAAGTGCTTTGAGTGAAGCTTCACCTTAAAGCCAGGCACATGATTTGAAGCAGATTCTGACCCAGTTTAGGAGTTGCACTGGAAGCCTGATTGAGCGCCATTTGTCGGGCTGTGTTCAGGGGGTCGATTGTCTCTCCTGAATGGTCGAAAAAACTCCTGCATGACAGAAGATTTGTCATTAAAATAAGTCCAATTTACAAACAATCTCATGGACACTGTGAAGTAACTGAATACTAGTTTGGCTTTAGAATGGCAATGAAAAATGAGTGATTTGTATAGTCTGTTTCAAAGCCCTAAAAATGAAGATTTGACGGTATGAGCGCTTACTCACTGACCAGGAACAATGTCTAGAGTCTGTGAGTGTGGAGATCAGGGGCCTGTTCTACGAAGCAGTATTACTGCTTAGCGAGGTAACTTCGAGGGTACGTTCGGGGTTTCCTGTTCTATGACCAGGTTCACTTCTTAGTGAGGTGAGTCTCCATGGCAACGTACGCTGAACGGCTAACCTGCTCTGGGGCAGGTTAGGTTCCAGATTGAACTCACCAAGTATAAAAACCCCGCCCACTGACCACTGGCTTGTCCATTCTTGGAGGATCCTATAGACTTTGGTGCCCGCATTGTCCGGAGGAGCACTCCGGCGCGCGAGAGTTTTCAGGGTCCGCACGGACCCACTTATTTTTCCATATGACCACCTTTATGAAAGGCTCATATGGCCGACATATCACACAAAAAATGTAAACACGATAGGAATGAACAAATGAATGAAATCATCTTGGAAATGAATTAGACATGTCTGGTGCATGTTAAAAGCGCATGTTGAACAGTGCTATTTCAGGGTGATAATGGCATCAAAGATTTTTTGGGCACTATACTTAAGCATTGAGACTGTTGGCAATTTTCTGCCAGCATTCACTCCGTGCTTTTGCAGCAGCGACGGTGTTGCTGTTGAGGTTTATGATAGATTTGCATTCTTCATACTTTCTCATGATCGTCTCCTGCTCCTCGTTTGTAAAGTCTGCGGTCCTTCGCTCTCCGGTCTGCTCTGACGCTCCAGACTGGTCCATGTTCGCGATTGATCAGATGTGGCGGGCTCCGCCTTACATGCGTGCACGCGCTCATAGCAAAGCTGGATCCACTTATGAGGTTGATAACCAGCATCGTAAGACCATTTAGCGAGACTGCTGGCTACCGTGCTAAGTTAACATGAGGTTGAACTTGCTTCGTAGAATAGGCCCCTGAGTTCAAACAAACAAACAAACAAACACAGTAGTCAGCTGCTCTTTTTTATGGATAATGTTCATTTTTCTTAGTATAAAGATTAAGTTCTGCTCTTCTCTCTTTGCTCTGAATTGTCTGCAAACCTTCTCCTCGTATCTCCTCAACCATGTGACCTTTGCGAAGGGGCTGCCGCTCCATCTGTCAACATGAGGAGGTACACACAGAGGAGTAAAAGTCAGAGGAGTTAATGTTGCGTTGAGTCGTCTGCCGTGCGTGTTAAGCGTTATTAATGGAGTGTGTGTTGCTAATTGCACGCCTTGACTGGCTCTAACGCAGCTCTGGCCTTGAAGAAACTGAGGGTGGTGGTGGTGGGGGTGGGGATGGGGGGTGGTCATTACGAGTCTCATTCTGACTGATACACAGTGAGGAAAAGCTGGATGAGCTTTAAGACTCAGTGTGTCTACACTGTTTACATGCTACAACACATGTGCTTAATATGTCATTGAATCATCATTCAGACTGTGACCTTTAGCTTTAGTCATAATAACTTTAATTACAGTGATTATAACTTAATGTATGAAGGAGCGCTTTGACACACAAGTACAAGAATACACTGGAACTCAAACCCAAAACCCGACACTTCCACAACCCGATGAAATGATCAAAATAATCAGCAGCTTCAATTCTTAAAAAAAAGGCTTCAGGGTTGTTACGAGTGGCTGGCTGCTGTATGGAGGTTTGGTTGCTTCACCCTCTCTTCCTTTTGGTTCGATGATTAAGCAATTCATTTTACCAGGTTGTCCCCGGGTTGAGCTGCAGGGTTTTGTTATTTTAGTTTGGCTGTAGGTTGCCAGTAGTCCTATTTTTGTTTTTTTCTTTTCTGATTGAGTTCGTTTTTTGGTGAGGTAGTCTTAGTGAGGGTAGATGACTGGTTCTATGGCCCATTGTGTGGCTACTTATGACCACCACCCCCTCTTTTGTTACTTTTGACCGGTGCCTACAGCCCTTTTATTTCATTGCTTTATTGTTGAATTAATTTCTGCTTATTGAAATAAAGTTTGTTTGGCACTGAGGGTCTCTGTCTGTGTCCTTTCTGTAAATTTTACCGGTCTCTTGTTAATAGCCTTATTTTTTTTCTTGGTGATTCAAATTAATTATTTTTAAGAGGCCACAGCAAGGGTATCAAAAAAAAAAAAAGATTGACAACGCCAATAATTTGCATATTTGATTGCTACTGCCCAAGCCTTCATTGACCTAAACTGTTTACATAGTCTCTGTTGGTTTGAGTATACACCGTTGTAACAGTTTCCACCTCCACTAAACCGTGTTTTCATGTAGGAGATAAAAGAGGGGAATGAAGGAGGTCTGTTATTTCCTCAGGGTGTTTTGATCTCTCAGGGCTGTGGGGTAGCTGGATATGAACCTGAGTGAGTTTATAAGTGTGTGTGTGCTGACGAGAACCCTCTTGTTGTGTCCTCTCCCCTTCTGCAGCTGTGCGAGTCTCTGGAGGAGCTCCTGAATGTGAACGGAGATCTGAGGGGCGAAGGCCAAACCATGTGGACTCTGCTCGGGGGCATATTGGGTCAGGTACCTGTGCTGTCTTTATTCCTTTTCATGTCCTCCTCTCTAATGTTCAGAAACTCTGTTGATCTTTCTCTTCCCTCCGCTTGGTGATGATTGATGATGGAGAGTTTTGTAGATTGTGTGGAGCAGCAGCGGCTCCGGACTAACCCTGCTGTTTATAAAAGTCCTTTCATTTCACACTAACTGATGTAGCTGTCATTTACCGTGAAGTTGGACCTGACTGCAGGAAAGTAAAAGCTGTATCCCACTTCACGTTCCCTTGGCAACCAATTGCTAAGACGTACCTTTACAGCTAATGGGTAATTTAATGAATGTGCTGCAGTCTACAGAAATAGACAGAGAACTTTCTGTTTGTCGGCTGGAACCGGCTAAAACTGCACAGCTAAAGGTGATTCAACGTCTTCATCAGATCAATGTGACTCTCTGAAGACTGCTCCTGGTTTACCTGTAATTTAATACACATTAATGTTAAAATAGAAAAATTCAAACATACACTTCTGAATAAAAACAGTCATCAAGTCCTGGATGATCTAAAGTTTCTTTAAGGAAGGATTTAGAAGTATGGTTTTCTTTCTCCTCATGTTCAAGTGATCCAGCCTGTTTTGAGATACAGATGTGATTGAGTGTTTTCTCAGATCTTCAGTCTGGTTCAGCAGCTTAAAAATGACCTCGTCATGTGCAGACGTTCTGTGTCTTAACCTGTACCAACCTGCTGATGTCACACCTCTCACAGAATTTTTACACAACGTCAGTAACATGTGCTGAGTGTAAGGACAGGGGAGAATCTAGGGGGTAGTTATCTTATCACTGTATCAATCCAATCCAATCCACTTTATTTATGTAGCACTTTTTTTTTTTTAATTCAAGTTTACCAAAGTGCTGCACAATAAAATTAAAAGAACAGACACTGCAGAAAACATCAAGAGGAAAGAAATAAAAGCAGGTAAAAAACATTGAAAATGAAAAAGGATTAATGAAATAAAAACACAGATGCATAAAAGAAATAAAAGTGATAAAAGGACCTTAAAAGAGGACAGAGAGATCACACAACTCTTATGTTAAGCTAAAAGCCAAGGAATGAAAATGAGTTTTAAGATGTGTTTTTAAAGTGGAAAGAGTGGGGGGATGTTTTAATCTCAAGTGGCAAATCGTTCCACAATTTGGGAGCCACAGCTGAGAATGCTTGATTGCCACGGGTTTTTAAATGAGTTTTTTGGGACCACGAGTTGGAGCTCATCAGCAAGCCTCAAGGAACATTGGGGGGTAAAAACATCTGAATTCTAAAATGAACGGGAAGCCAAAGGAGGGGCATCAGAATAGGAGTGATGTGGTCCTGTTTACGTTTACTTGTTAAAAGATGAGCAGCAGCATTTTGGACTAACTGTAAACATGTGAGGAAAGCCTGATGAGCACTTTCGGCTTTAATTGTATTGTACTGTATTAATCTATGCAAGCCAAAAGTCCCATTCAAGGGTCAGGTAACAATGAGAGCACCCTCTTCTGAGTCAAACGGCACCTACTTCAGACATCCAGACGTGCTGATGAACTGTACATTAACTTGAATAAACCTTCTCCTGTGATGGAGCCTAAGAAAATGTGGGAAACTCTGATTTAAATTTGTCCAAACAAAACTTCCTGGCCTAGTGTAGTACTGAGTATTGTGCTTTAGGACTTGTGTCTACCTGCCTTTAATGCACACAAACAGACACATTTTTTCTGCCTTCACATTTTGAGTCCATGTTTTTACATCACCAGGTAGGATCTCCATTTTGGTTTCTGAGAGAGTGCAGTCGCTCCTTTAGGGATTTATGTTTAAGTACCATCTGAACTCATAAAAAGCCTTTAAAGTGTGGCCGTTGAAGAGCATGAGCCGTGCAGACAAATGGTAGAATGATATTAATGTGGTGGCGAGGCAGCAGAATGGACAGGGACTGGAAGGAAAACTGGCAGTGAATCTGCAATGACCACCATAAATCACCTAATTATGAGCACGCACGCTTTAAGTAGCAACATCAGTCACAGCACCGCATGCTTTTGTGTCATCTATCTGCCACGTTTTCATCTCCTATTTGTCATCCTGCCTGCCTGCATTTGCAGAAATTATTGATGTCCCCAACTGGGACTCTCATCCCTCTTCCAGTCCACAGTCGCTGTTTTTGTTCCCCGTGCTCTTGGAAGTTTAGCACTCCTGGCAACTTGACAAGAAAACATACAACACATTTCCCACTAGCCTCCATAAAACAGTGTGAGGCTGGAGCTGCTGCTGGGTGAGAGATATTATAACAGGTATTAATGTTAGTCAGTCCTGCAAGCAGATCTGTTGGGATCCAAACATCTCTGACGAATCTGATCCATATTCAGACTGAAATGAAGCTCAGCAAATGACTTTGCACCTCACTATTGTAGGGATGTTTTTCAGATTCTGCTCTCTGTTCTCATAAACATTAAATGATAAATTCTCATCTCACCATCCCAGACTCTAACCTCTGTACTTATTCTACTTCCTGTCTAAATGTTAAATCTGTACATGGACTGTACAAGCTTTCTGGTTTCAGTTTGTTGTGCATTTGTAGTCTGAGTTGTGTTGACCAATTAGGTAACAGCAGGTGTTTGGTGTCTGTATAGAAAACAGCCAGTATGTAGAGCAAAAGCAGGCGCAACATAACTCATCATTATGACCTCATCAGCAGTAATATGGTGATGATTTAGGGACCTGTATAGACATATGAATACTAGAAGCTAACAAACCACCATCACTGCAGTGAGGTCTCTTTTTGACACCTGAGCCTTTGAATGGTAGTTACTTCATGTAGTGATTAATTCTTGTATTTTGCCTTCACATTCTGTGGAGCGAGATTTTGGGTGAGGGGGCTTGTACACTTCAGAAACATGTACAAAACCCAATTCCATTGAAGTTGGGAAATTGTGATAACTCTAAATAAAACAGAATACAATGATTTGCAAATCCATTTCAAAGACAAGATATTTAATGTTCAAACTCATAAACTTTATTTTCTTTTGCAAATAATAATTAACTTTAGAATTTGATGTTGGGAAAGGTGGCAAAAAATACTGAGAAATTTGAGGAATGCTCATCAAACATCTATTTGAAACATCCCACAGGTGAGCAGGCTAATTGGGAACAGGTGGGTGCCATGATTGGGTATAAAAGCAGCTTCCCCAAAAATTCTCACTCATTCAAAAGCAAGGATGGGGCGAGGTTCACCACTTTGTGAACAACTGCATGAGCAAATAGTCAAACAGTTTAAGAAAGACGTTTCTCAAAGTACAATTGCAAGGAATTTAGAGATTTCAACATCTAGGGTCCATAATATCATCAAAAGGTTCAGAGAATCTGGAGAAATCACTGCACGTAAGCGGCACGGCCAGAAACCAACATTGAATGCCCGTGACCTTCGATTCCTCAGGCAGCACTGTATCAAAAACCGACATCAATGTGTAAATGAGATCACCACATGGGCCCAGGAACACTTCAGAAAACCACTGTCAGTAAATACAGTTCGTCGCTACATCTGTCAGTGCAAGTTAAAACTCTACTATGCAAAGCGAAAGCCATTTATCAACAACATCCAGAAACGCTGCCAGCTTCTCTGGGCCCGAGCTCATCTGAGATGGACTGATGCAAAGTGGAAAAGTGTGATAATGAAGTAAAGCAAGATTTTCTTGTAAACATGTAACTTAACCAACAGCATCTTGCAGACCAACAAACTGATTGCTTGCTACACTTATTAACAACAAATGCTCTGCACAGGTTGAGAGAATGACATTAGATTCCCCAAAAATCTTCTGCTGTTTCCGCTGTCCAAACAGGGTTTAAAAATCTCCATCTTTGAAGGTGTTTTTGAAAATCTGTTTATAGTGACCTGAGACTCTTAATGGTTGTCAGGATCTAAGATTTTCCCCTCATGATTACTGTGCCATTTAAAACTTCCAATATGAAAATCATGAAAAACTTTTTTTTTATTTATCTACATCTCTAGCTCAATAAAAAAGAACTTATTTTGGAAATATATTGCCTCAGAAAACAGTTGTTTGATATTCTTCTCTGTCTTTATGTTGCTTTATTTCCTGCAGTAATGCTTTTATTTTGAAATATACTACTTCTGGTGGATCCTGGATTCCTGAGTCACAGAGCAGGAAAAAAAACAGAGAAGGGTTAGAAAGTATAGGTGCAGCCCAGTTGATGAGTAAACTGAAGGGGCACGTGCTCTGAATCTGTATTTTTGACTGTAAGTCTTTGAATGCGTCTCTCAGAGGGATGCTAAAGTTAGCTCGCTGGCAGCTGCTGTTTATTCGTCCCTTTTATGTCATGTGGTATCCAGCTTATTGTTTTCTTATCTTAATGAAGATATCAGTATTTAACTTTCTAAAGAGACAGATTTCATCAGAGTCAGTATATTGTGACAGCCCGGTTAGAAATGGGGCTCGCTGATGCTGAGACAGTGTAAGACCAGAAGAGGACTAACAGGCTTGAGTGAAACAGCACGGGTTGGTTGTGTTTGGATGCTGTTGAGAGTGGCTGCCAGCTTCATGTATCCTCAGGAGGTAGTGCAGAGATTTTAGCATCCCACAATCTGATATTAGATCAGAGAGCTTTAGATAGAGGGGGCTTTAGGCCCAAAGATGCCAGCATGAGTGGATTAGTCTTACAGCTGAAGCTCACAGCTTGAACTTGCAGGCGTAGTTATGCAGGAGCACACTCGCTTTGGCAGAGCTGGTTTTTAAAAGTGATGATTCAGGTCACAGATTCATTATATTACTGTAAAGAACATAATGAAGATGCTCTCAGTTAGAGAGATTTCCCTGTTTGTGTCTGTACTGCAAGGTTTTGATTAGTTTTCTTCAGGGACAAAAGCCAAACTGCCTGTATATATATATATATATATATATATATATATATATATATATATATATATATATATATATATATATATATATATGTGTGTGTGTGTGTGTGTGTGTGTGTGTGTGTGTTTACTGTTTGCACTCCCTCTATTTAATCTACAACTCCAAACTTCTTCATCTGTCTGATAAAGCTTGTTAACAATGTTGAAACTGCTCCATATCAGCAGCAGAGACGCTCCCTCACAGCAGAATGCATGTGGACTGTGGTCCAGGTGGAGGAGATAGCCCCTGCAGCCCCTTTTGTGCTTCAGTCACCCCGTTCCTCCATCTATCAGGCTTCCCTGCGGGGACGCTCCCTGGCCACTACAGACAGAGCGGGCACGCTCAGATTAGAACTTCCTGCGGGAAAACCTTGTCTGTTTAGTGACAGGCTCGGTCCCTACGAGATAAGTTTTCTAATTAACCTGCGTGGCAGCGACGCACCTGATGGAGGGGAGAATAAACTGGCTGTCTGCTGCTGCTTTTCACCTGCCACATACAACAGGTTCTCCTCTCCCCACAACTCTGCTGTGAGCGAACTTTCACAGCTCTCCACTCAGAGCCAACACACACAGGTGTTCAAGAAGGTGTCACCTGAACCCTGACAGCAACGCAGACTGAGCTCATCGTTTCACTTCTCTCTTTCTCTGTCTTGTAGTGACATCTGAAAATCTTACTCTGCTGCTAGATTAATGACACTCTCTGTTACCTAACCTTATTACAGGTACATAATCTACTGATATTAACCTCGTCTCCAGGACAAAAAGGCGCAAATGGTTTTGGGTTTTCAGGTTCAGGTCACTTTATTTGAACTCTTAAGAGCAGAACAAAAAACAATTAAAATACACTAAAAAAAAAAAAAAAAACTGACTTTAGGATATATTAAAATCAGTTAATGAGGAACTTAAATTAATAGCACTCAGATAAATAAATGAATAACCTCTGAAATAAAAAGTGCTGATAAGTTCTTCTGTCATTTGTGCAAAAAGTTTTGGATCATCCCCAGTAGATTATGTTCCATGCAGGGCAAAATCTCTCAATTAGAGCGCCTTGGAAATGGAACTCATTCACTGTCCCATATGTTGACTTTTTTTTCTTCCAGAGTCAAACGTGACAAAGACTCATGTTTAAATTATGCACCACAGAAAACGTGTGCATCTTTTTTTTTATAGAAACTAAACACCCCAGCTGTTCTGAAAGCCCCAAAAGAGAGGAAGCCCAGCAAGAAGGAGGGAGGATCCCCAGGGAAGTCATCCAGCCTGCCAGCAATCCTCTACAGGTAAACAGGCAGGGTCCTCGGGGACGCTGTGGAAAACAGTGGAAGGGTTAAAAAAAGAGGAGCTTAAATAGCCGGGTAAAGATACAGAAACAAAAGTTAAGCTGTTTTTAAAGTCAGAAAATGCAGAGAAAGAATCAAAGTGCCTCACTGAATCACTTTTAAGCCAATTTCAGGTCAAATGTGTGCATTTATGTCTGATCTAAAACCTATTTTCATAACTAAACAGTAAGGTGGAATCCTCCTTATTTTTTGGTCCTCCAAAAGTTTGACTTGAAACAGATTTCATCCAAACGCCAACATCAAGCATGCTGTGTTGTATTTCTTTGCAGCTGTGGCATCTGTAAGAAGAACCAGGACCAACACCTGCTGGTTCTGTGTGACACCTGCAAGCTCTACTATCACCTGGGCTGCCTGGAGCCTCCACTGACACGCATGCCCAAGAAGACCAAGAACAGTTACTGGTGAGGGACGGGTAGGGTTGGGATAGGGTGGGATTAGGGATGGACAGTTTACATTTTTATTGATAAACATGGTGTTTATTGATCTCACTATTAATACTTTTACATTATTTGGTGGTAAGATAAATCAAGGAGATATTTTGAGGAGAACTGGTTTAATTTTAAAACCTCAACTCCAAAAAGCTAGGATGCTCGATGGTCCTGATCTTCAGGCATTAAAAACTGGACTCTGGAGTGGAAATCACTGCATCAACTCAAAAATCCCTTCAAAAACCATTGTCTGAGAACACAGTTCATCACTGCTTCCACAAATAAGGTTAAAACTGAACCATGCAAAGAAGAAACCAGACAGAACCAGGATCCAGAAACACCAGAGATGTGGAAAACTGTCCTGTGTCCTGGCGAGGCAGAAGGTGATGTTATTTTTGGGGTTTATGAATGCTCATAACAATCTGAGCCTGTTTGTAGTGAACATACTCATTTTCTCTCAGACATGATGCTGCTTTATTAAGCCTGTTTTACTACTTCTGGCTGACTGAAACTTTTTGTCCCGTTAGTCATTCACCACCCAAATTATGAAAAAAGGGGGCTAAAAAAAGGATTATTCTTTAGCTTTTCCACTGACATGATATGGGGTAAATTAATGTCAGCTGCTGACGTGTTACATGAACAAAAATTGTGTTTTCGGGACTGAAACAAGCGACAGGTTCACTGTAAGCTTAAAAAACAGACTGTCAGGGAGCCATTAGTGAAGGTTACACAGTTTAAGATTCCTCAGAAAGAAAAGATACTCGACTCTGCCGCCCTCCCTCTACAAAGCATGATTCAACATGACAGCACCGAGAACATGAGAGGATGACTGTGGATAGAGAGCAGGCGCGGTGTGCAGGAGGTTATTTTTCCCGCTCTTTAATAAGGTTACAGATGCATCAATAACAGGACATTTGTAGCTGCTGTGAAAACATGACAGGTTTACCTACAACCAAGGAGACGAGCAGCTCCAGCAATCAAATGTTTAGGTTTCACATGGTTAAATATCTCTATTCTGACATTTATAGCTGAAGCTAACCTCATAAAATATCTCCATGATTCCAGTATGAAAACGGACTGTTTTCAGATTCATTTCCCTCCTGCTTGGAGTTTGTTCAGTCTTATTGGTTTTGATATTTGAGACCGGTCGGCAGCAGCAGGATTATCAGACAACGGTGCTGAGATGGTGGAAATGTCACAGTCACTTATTTTAACCATGGCATTCTCTTAACCAGCTGTAGAGGAGATGAAGTTTCACATAGGATCATTCTTAATACATTTCATTACTGAGTGAACTTACATTGTTTCTGAGAAGAGAAGAGAAAAAAACCTTTTGTTTCTTGGAGTAAATTTCAGAAATGAAGAGCAGCAGCTGCTGTTAAAGAAAACGTCAGTGTTAGTTTGTTGTGCACGCTGGAATAATTTATTCATCATTTGTTCAATGCATTGAGCTCTTTAGGTTTATTGGGTGAAAATGTTAACCTACAAAATGGAAGTTTTTGTTTTGTTAACAAAAAACAGAAACAGAGGGAAAAGCTGCAGAGATGACAGACAAGTGAGACAGAAGCTGCTGCAAAAACTCAAATCTTCACATGTGTTTTTGTTTTATTGGACTATCAAGATATACGATTATTGAGGTCATAAAATACAGATGATAATATTGTGATATTTATTGAAAACCTCAGTCAAAAACAGAGCAAAGACAGGAGTGGCACAAAACATAACTTCACAAACTTGACTACAATACACAGTCAACTTCAGTGCCATCATCTATTTCTGATTATGTTTAAATTTGTGATTGATCCACATCAGCAGCTCATTGGTCTTTGGAGAAGAGGTAGCTTTACTCCTTTATAGTTAGACTGTACTTTTATTTTGAAATGTACTGTTTCTGGTAGATCCAAAGTTACTAAGGTGACAGAAAACAGTCAAATGAACGGTGATGCAGTACGAATGTTGATCAGCAATCTGAAAAGGCTCAAAGGTTGTTTTTGAATTGAAAATTAATCTAGGAAAGTCAGTTTTTAATTGTTTCATTTTTTTGTGAGAGGGCTGCTACAGCTAGCTTGCAGGCAGTCCACTTCTTCTTTGTCTATCCTCTGATGAAAGATGTGGCAACCAGCATAAGAGCTATTACTGTCAACTGAAGGTATTACTGTAGACTAATTTTAGCACAAGATCAATACGTTCCAGTTAGACAGTAAAGACCAATGATTCAAAGTCTGAGACATTTAAACAGACGAGCTCTCTTTCTTCCTCAGGCAATGCTCTGAGTGTGACCAGGCCAGCAGTGATGAGGCTGATATCGCCATGGAGACACTACCCGATGGCACCAAGAGGTCCAGGAGGCAGATCAAAGGACCAATCAAATTCATCCCACAGGAGATGTCACCGGAGCCCAAAAAACATCAAGTGAGAGGCACGGTGTGTATCAGCACACCAAAAACCGTTGTCATCATCAGTTCAAACACAAAAACACGGTTTAGAGCCAAAAACAATGAGAAGAGTTTCAGCTGGACTTGTCCTCCACTCTCATTAGAGTCTAATTGATGTCAGTGTCGGCTAATTGATTGATCTGTATTGATTACAAATAATTAACTCCAGTCCTCATCAGATTGATGCAAGCCTTAATCTTTTGGAAAGTCACACAAGGTGACCTTTTATTCCTCGGAGCACAAATATTTAAATATTTGTTACGACAGGGGCTTGTGTTTGACACGGGGCTGCAGCTGAACTCATTAATCGAAAAACAAAACAAAACAAAACAAAACTGCAGAGTATGAGGAAGAAAAGGAAGCAGAGTAAAGAAGTTAAGCCAGTGCAGAGGAGCCTCAAATCTGCATTGTTTTTTTTTATGGCCAGTACAGGGCTAGTCCAGAAGTTAGAATATATAAATCACGAGAAACATGGACAAGTTCTCAAGTGTTTGATTCCCTCAGTGAACACTTTCTTTAATGAGTTTATGGTCTTGATTTCTAGTTTCAACTCTTCTTTAACTAAGCATGATGTCTATTTTGTGGATTACTCTCAAAGAAACTGACAACTGTGCAGACAGAATCTATATATAGCCACTCCGAGAACAGCACCCTCTGGTGACAAGCTGCAGTATAGGTCATAAATCCCGCCTCCGCCAGCAAAGCTTATAATGCTGTGGACAAACTTTTAAAAAATTTTTACACAGAATATCACCCGGGGGATATGCTGTTTGAGCTGAGCGTCATCACAGCAACCCCCCCCCCCCCAAAAAGTCCACAATGCTGATGCACAAGTGGTGGCGTGCGTACAACGCTACTGCACAACGTTGGTTTCAGGAGAAAACACAGAATTACTGAGAGCTTTTGGGCTTCAAATCCGTATACTGGCAGAAGGTGGAACCAAGTTGTCCATTGTATATACAGCCTATGCAATGTATCTACAGTAGTGTGTTGGTTCACTTTTCTCTGACAGACAGGGTGTCCATGTCCAAACCTCAGAGCTGCTTTAATAAGACATGAAAATGTATCCACACATACCTAAATCCACATGCTGTTCACACCGGTTCACTACCACCCCATGTTTTGTCGGTTTTGTCTATTTTTCCTTAAAACTTTTGTTCCCTAAGGACAACAGAAGGGTCGTATGTGGACTGTGTCAGCCTACAGAGAAACATTTGGTGTCAGCTGTGAGGAGGAACAGAATCCCTCACTGGATCCCACTTATCTGCACCGGCCATGCTCTGATCCTCAGATACAGAGCCGCCTCCCCGCTCCCTCAAGAAACACTCCAGATTGATATCTGACAGCTCCGCGCTGAGGAAAGCGGGGGAGGGGCCGGGCTTGTCTTTCACTTCCCCTTTTTCTTTCTCCCACTGTCAATATGTGACCCGGCGTCGCTCACCTGGGACTTTGGGGAACTTTCCTCTGGTGGCTGTGGATGCTCACAGCAGAGTCAATTCCTCTGAAGCCACTCCTGACTGCAGCCTGTGTTACAAATAGAGGAATGAACAAAGAAAAGGAGGAGTGTCTCAGCCACTTCTCTCACTCTCCACACTCCATCTGTCTTAGAGGGGAAATAGTGGAGTGTTGGAGCACAGTGGCGGCCTGGGTTAATGTGTTTTTCTGTTCAGGTTTGGAAACCCTGGGCCCAGACATGTGCCGAGGACCCTGCTGGAGCTCTGGGGGATTAAGCAGCTTTCTGATTTTTCTCACAGCCACAGCTACTCGGGCGAGGCACTTCACTGCAGCATTTATCTTCAAATGCAAGGCGTGCAATGGCAGACGCTAAAAGGGCCCTGCTTTGCATTTTTAATGCTTTTACCAGGGCACCCAGGCGCTGGCACTTCTCTAAAGCCATGTTTCAATTTATCAGGGCTGGCTAATCGACCTCCTGCTGGCCTTCGAGGCTGCGCTGTGTGTGCGCTGGAGAGCTGCTGTATGTGTGTGTGTGTGTGTGTGGGTGTGTGTGCAACATGCACACATTTACATTTGGCCAAAAGGGCTGACATGGCCCAGTGCCACCTTGATGAAGCTGAGAGTCTTGTGGCTGTTATTCATAGCCTTCAGTGCCCGCCGGAGAAAAACGTTTCAAGTCAACCTGTGAGCTGAATTTTTATTGAGTAAGTATGTAATGTCAGAGCTGTAAAATTAATGCTCCATGATTTTACACCGCCCTGTTTCAGGTGTAGAACATCTCAAACACTTATCCATTCAGGCTTCATGCAAGGACACATCATTAACACACATTTGTTCTTGGATAGAGCGTGCCAAAGAAGACTAGCCACTGTTTTATGTAACTCTGTCATGAAGCAGTTTTATAGTCAGCATTTCTACCTCTGCTTACTCTGAGAACGTCGGCTGAGTAGATGGAGCTTTAATGGCCCTTTTAATACAGAAATCCAGCTACAGCACCACCATAATGCCTGGTTTGCAAATTTGTCCCATCCCAGAGACATTTCCATTGCTGAAGGTTAGCTGCTCACGTCTTCTCCTTTTTTCTTTCTTTAATTAGAAACATCCTTTAACGTCACACCCCTGTCACGGCCTTCAGGCTTCCTCATTTACACAGGAGAAGTCAACTGAGCTCTGTCACCACCTTCCTTGCTAGCCTGAGATTAAAGCGGTATGACCCTCCCAGTTCAGGCTTTGAAATTTTTACTCAGAGGATTGAAGCAGAAGAAAAGCAGCCTAAAAGAGTGGTTAAAAGGGCCACCAAATATGCTGCTGAAACAATATGGACACGAGAGGTCTAGGGCAGATGTGGTCTAAGCAATCTGGAGCTGTATTCACACATGCAGAAAACTCCAAAAACCTCCTCACTTAAATTTTCATGGCTAGCTGCGTGTACAAACTGGACTCTTTCCTGGTCGCCCCTAAAAGAATTGGCTGAAAGAGCACTGCAGGACATATCTGAACAAATCTCAAGAGTTTCATATTCTGAAGTGTTGTTCTGAGATTTCAGCTGCTCAACAGTTTAGGGTCTCCTTTGTCCTGTTTTTGGTGTCATGATGCTCTCGATGTTTTTAACAAGTCAGGACTGCAGGCAGACCAGTTTCTCAGTAGGACTCTTCTCCTACAGAACCATGCTGTTGTAATCCCTGTTGTCAGAATGTGGTTTGTCATTGTTTTACTTAAATATGAAGGTCTTCCCTGAAAAAGTCTTTGTCTGGATGTCAGAAGATGTTGCTCATAAACCTGTAGATATTGTTCAGCATTAATGGAGCCCTCACAGATGTGGAAGATACAAACAATGGTTTTTTTGATGTGATTTAGAGTCCATGCAGTGATTTCCACTCCAGAGTCCTGTCTGTTTTTTAAAAAGCAGTGCTGCCTGAGGGCCTGAAGATCAGGACCATCCAGTCTTGGTTTTGGTCCTTGTCCCTTTAGTTCAGAGATTTCTCCAGATTTCAGAATGATATGATCTTCTGTAGATAATAAAATCCACTCATTCTTTGATATTTGACACTCAGAAACATTATTCTGAAACTGTAGAACTGCTGGCTCACGCAGTCTCTCACAGAGTGGTGAACCTCTGGCCAGCTTTCCTTCTGAGAGACTCAGCCTCTCTCAATGTCCTTTTAATGCCCAGTCATGTTACTAACCAGTCAGACATTAACCTCACCAGCTGTTTTTTAGAGTAACACAGATGTGATTGTTCTCACCCTGAATGTCAAAAAAGTCTGTAAAAATGATATTAATGAAACTATCTTTGGACGTTAAATCCAGTAAAGGGAAGTTTTCAGGGGGACAAACGGAATGCAGCCATAAAATGCTCCCCTTAATTGGTCATGATTTACTGTGGCCTGCTTCAACCCCAGCACTAATATTTAAACTCCCATACAGACATATGTCATTAATCAGTTGGAAATTATGAGAATGAAGTGAATATATAGTTAGTAGCACTTCCTATGCTCTGTTAATTTCTCTAATCCTGTGTGAAATGATTCATGCTTGTTAAAGATTCACTGATGTACTTAATTAAAAGATTGATTTTGCCGGGGACTTATAAACTGCCTGCAGTTTTAATTTCCTCACCTGAGCAGAGCCTGAGATTAGCTATGCTGTGCGTCTGAGGGTTTTTTAGCTGAACCAGCGACTGATCTGGCCCCTGCTCTGCCTGCCTTATAGATTACTCCCAGAGACAGAGCTTTAATGCAGAAATAACTAAACAGCATCAGGCCTTTTGTTAAGAGCTGGAGGAATAGTTAAGGTATGTAGGAGCCAATTGGCAGCAGTCTTGCAGTTAGCATTCTTAATGATAAGTGCTCCATCTGGCGAGTGGTGGCGAGCCAAAGGCGACAGATGGAATTGTTTTCACAATCTGTTTAAATATGTTGTCGATTTTTCTTCCCCTCTTTAAACCTCCCAGCAGCTCCGGCACTCAGTTGCTTGCAAGAAGGAGAAAATGTTTGTTTTTTATTTCCTCTCATGCATCTGCTGGAGAAACACAAGTTCAGACAAGTGTTTCTAGCATCGGTCTGGTTAGTCCTTGATAGAAAGAATATTATTAGTGTCCTGGCATGTTCAGTTCTGTGACATGATGGGCTGAGGTGGAGGAGAGCCAGCAGCGACGTGAGTCAGGCTGCCCTGAAAGAACAAAAGGGTTTAATGGATGCTTTTGATACGAAGAAACTAGTGGATCATATTATTGTGCATTCGAAGAGGTTTGTGTTACTGAAATGACAAAGCATGAGAATGAGCACAATACTCGTACTTTTCTAGTAACTGTTCAATCGTTTCATCAAATACGCTTGAAAGTGACTCAGCTTCCTACATTCATCATTAAATCACTCAGAGGAAAAGAAAAGTGCCAGGTTTTGATTTCACTGTTTTTGACCCTGGCTTAAAAGTGATTTTGTTTTTGTCTTTATTTTGTTTGCTTGTTTTGCAGAGAACCAGGGGGCAGAAGAGGAAGAGAATCCCCATCTGTGAAGACAGAGAAGATAAAATTGAGGTTTGTGTTGCACTTGTGCTCCAAAAGGTGTTTTTTTGACCAAAAGTATCCAGACCTTTTAGTTCCAGGGACTTTTCTTAAAGGAACTAAATGGTTTCTGTGACTCATAGTTTGTGTTTCCATCAGGGACCTTAACTGTTTTCATTTACATCCTGGTTGGATAGCATTATGGCAACATGGCAGCAGGCATTAACCAGCACTGCAGTCCTGGCCAGAGTCAGGCCACTGCATGTGAGCAGAATTTGAGTCCTACAATCATAAAAAGAACTTAACTTGTTTAATTATATATATAGTATTTCCGGTGCCTGGGGTAACAACATTCAGTCATTCAGTTGTCTCAGTACTCACATCCATGTTTGCCCGTCCTCATATGAATTTCCTGGAGTCTTCATTCACTGTTGATTTTGATTTTTTTTTTTTTTCAGCAATCATGAACACAGGCTGCCACACGGCATAAAAAGGCACTAATGCTGTTAAAAAAACAAACACATCTTGACTCTAGAAGTGCTGCTTCAAAGTTAGATTAGACTGAGTCGAAGTTCACAGCAATTTTCATCAAACATACCAACTAAATATTTCTCCCTCTGTCCTCCTGCCTCTTTGTGGTTGAATTTTTTACTCCCCTTTACCTTTTAACCATACATACAGCGCTTGACTGTAACCCATCATGTTTCCATAGGAACCGCTTCCACGGGAACGTAGACAACGCCAGTCTGCAATGCAGAAAAAAACACCCAAAGCTGATGACACAAGGACCGAGTGTACAACCTGCAAAGGACCGGGTGACAACGAAAACCTTGTGAGGTGAGGGAGTATGTGTGTGTGTGTGTGTGGCTGCCAGAGGGAGGAGGAGGGTTATTAGACATGTATGTGTGTGCGTGTGTGTGTGCATGTGTGTGTGCGTGTGTGTGGGAGGGGGCGTCTCGTGAAGCAGCCATATCCTCCTGATGATTAAAGTTCAGTCTTCATTAGGCGCCAGCCGCCTGGGCTCTGCAGAACGAGGGGGCTGAGGGTGTCTTCTCCATAGGCCGCCTATATTGACCTGCCACATACATTTGCACAGTTCATTAAGGCGTAATGAATAGCACAATTTATCTGCTCCTTTCCTAGGATTTTAGGTGTCAGCCCTCTAATAAGCAGGAATCTACTTTGACACTGGAAAATAAAAAAGGAGCTCACAGCAGGCGTCCTGTCAGCTCAGCGTCATGTGATCCATCTGACGGACAAACATGTGGCGCCATGTTTGTAAAACTAAAATGGCTCATTGTAACTTAACCTAGATGACTTTCTTAATGACACCTCTCTCTGACTACTTTTTTAAATCCTTCCATCTTAAACTTGATTTTGTGAGAAAGTGCCTGAAAGATCCACGTTTAATGTCTTGAAACCTGTAGTCTCTTTAATGACCAGCAGGGGAGCAACTGCATTAATGGTCCGTGAGAAGAAGGTCTGACTTCTCACTTTGATCCGTACCTTAGGAAACTTTTTTCTAATGACTTTAAGTTCTTAACCTCTAGTTTTAAATGTTATCCAATGCAGCACAAAGTTTATGTTGTAAAGTAAGAAATATTTAAATGTGCAAACAGATATTATAGTAGAGGTTTGCCTCAGGGCAGGGCTACCAATGATTAGCATGTTAACACGCAACATGTCAGCCGGGTTTTTACTCTGTGGATTGTCCAAGAATGGTCATTTTACACCCCCCACCACCACCACCAACTCAAGGCCCTGGAATCAATACATGCATACACATTGTGTCAAGTTTATCAGACTTCTCTAAGTCTTCTCACTTTCTTTGATCGTTACTGAAGCTTTCTTTTCCATTTCTTTGTTGACATAAACCCCACTCCTCCATTTTCTTCTCTCAACTTCCTTCATCCACGTGTTTCCTCATCAGACTTGGTTTATATGTTTCTTGTCATCAGTTATTGTATTTCCTCAGCTGGACTTTACAGTAAAACATAATTTAATTTAACTGTATAAAGCTCTGTCACCAATCAGGAGATCACTGTGGGAATCAAAGCACTACTCTGACTTATTATTAATGCTTTCATAATTATTATTATATTAGTAATTATATATTTTTTTACTTTATGTCTTTAATAACAATAATTAAGTTTATTTATCAGAACTTACAAAATCAGAGTCCCAAAGTGCTCATAATAAAACAGAAAACAGGGTTTGCAACAGCAGGTACCAGTAGAACCAGTAGAATCCAATTTAAACTCAGGCCCATACTTACAAAAATGAGTTTTTGAGTTTAAACAGAAAAAAAGGAACTTAGGAGTCTGACCCTCTCAGATCGATCATTTTGAAGCAGTGATTATTTTAAACAGCATATCTTAAACATGAATTCACAAAAAAGACAAGTTACTTGTTGTATTGTTACTTATTGAAAAGCAGTTGCTTGCCATTTGTAGTGCCATCTTCTGGGTAAAATAATGTAATAACAGAGGGCCCCTCACTGCATATTATGCAGTGTTTTTACTGCACAGGATGCAGCTAACATTTAGATGTCAACAAAAATATGTTTTATACATATGGCAGTCAATCAACCCACTCTGTCCTCAGGGGGGCACCAAATTGAAATTTCCTCCTATGAGCTTTAGCAATTGAAAGATTTATTTGTGAACAGGAAATCCTCAGTCAGGAATCTGTTTCACTGTTAGTCTTCAAAAACCATCACAAACAAACACAGAAACATGAAGTCACAGTCACACCTGGGGTTAAGAAAAGGTGCAGTTTGACTAGTTTCTCCCAAAATGACCAAATGAATATGAAATGACTCAAAGTGAACCAAAACAAAGTGAGTCGGACACACAGAGTTTCACTGATGCATCAACAGAGTTATCCACTCTGTTCATGCTCATTAATTCCCAGCAGCAGTTTCTCTTAGTCTTTAACACCGTCAGCAGATTATAATCTGCTAATAATTTTGATAATTATCTTCTCTTTTTTTTTTAGCAGAAATTAATTTTGGTCTTACAGTCAATGTAACAGCAAAGTAATCAGCAGTTAATCGGTGTTGAATTGTTAAATTCTTGTTTCTCTCAGTGTAACAGAGCAGCTGCTTTTAATGACTTTAAATCCTTTAAAACCCAAATAATGACAGAAAAACAGAAAAGTGGAGTTTCTTTTTTCTGTGTGTTATTAAAGAGAGGAGCTCAGAGCGAAGGCTGTTAAAACTCTCCTATTTCTATGGGTCACTTCCACACCCATCCACCTTTTTTCATCACCCTCCATTCGTCCCTGCAGTTTCTTTAAGGATTGAACCGTTTTGTGCTACAGAACAGACCAACAGTCGCACACTGAATGATGGTCACAAAGCTGAGAGCAGTTTCACAGAGGCAGACCCAAACCTTGGCTCTTGTGTTTGTGTTTCTGGAGCTCTGTAGTTGCTGTTTCGGTTTTGAGGGTTTTCTGGTCGGGGGTGTGAGGTGTGCTGCCCTGACCCTTTCTATCTTTGCATTGCACAGGTTGTGAGAGCCGGGGCAGCCATCTCACCTCCCATAAAAACTGGGGACAGATGACCGGTTGGCTTAGAGAGACAGAGAGAGGCAGATTGAGGCGTTTGAAGGACAAGACCGTCACGCTGCTCCGCAACCCCCTCTGACCCAAACTGGACCAACGAAAAACTGAACTGGACTATAAAGGTTAAACAGCCAATATCTTTGGATGAACTCTGGACTCCTAGCTGCTTCAGCACATTTGAAGGGTTTGGTTGATTCTTTTATGGCTCTTAATTGTCTCCATGCAATCGTCTTCATCTGCAAAGTCTGGACTCTGCTAGGGAAAAATGTATATACCAGGACCATATCAGAAGAAACTGTATCTTTGTAGCAATACTCCAAACCAGAAAAGGTAGAAGAGCTTTCCATGAAGACGACTGATGGAGGCAACTGCAGCAAATTGTATTTACAAGAACCCAGGCATGATAACTGAAGAGGATTTCAGAGAGTCACTATGTTTACGTTCACATTAGTACCTTGGTTACAATTAGGTTTTTGAAAACCTTTAGCCCAGCTGTTCAAAAGGTTTAAGTTCAGGTTTGAAAATCCTTTTTTTCCCCTCAGGATCAGTAAATTCATCCGGTTTTTGTCCTGGTTTTCAGAGATTATTGAAAGGATCAGCATGTGCCAAATGTAGACTTTTCAGGCAAAACAAAATCTGGATTACCTGAGCTCTGAATATATATATATATATATGTATATGTATGTATGTATGTGTATATATATATATATATATATATATATATATGTATGTGTGTATATATATGTATGTATATATATGTATGTGTATATATATATATGTATATATATGTATGTGTATATGTATATATATATATATATATGTATGTATATATATATATACACACACATACATTTATATATATATATACACACATATATATAGATATAGATATAGATATATACATAATAGAAACATGAAAATATGTGTCAAAGTATGTTCTCAGCAATCAACAGCTTGTTTAAATGTGAACACACCTTTTTTCCACCCTGACTTATAGCGAATTTTAAGGCGTTTAAGTTTAGCAGAGTTTCTCTGACTTGCTCGCCTCAACTGTGTAGTTTTTTTTTTTTTTGTCATTACCTGAATCAGAAACCTTCCTCCTCTTAGATGGCACTGCTTTAAAATTTGATCCCTTTAAACTATAGATAAATGAGTAAAGCAATGTTTCATTTAAATGTTGAATCCTGACTACGATTGAAACCAGGGTACTAATAAGGATGTGACTGAAACAGAGCAGTTCCTTCTGTGGTATAGGCTTGCATTTAACAGACGGTACATGTAAATGAAGACATAAGCTATGGAGAATTTCAGAATTGTGCAAATGACGCTGCAGATGATCAGAGGCCTCGCTGCTTTTAGATTTTGTAGCTCAAAGTGTGGAAAGGAGGCAAAAAAACAAAAAGCAGAAAACTGTTGAAGTTGATCTTTTTAATGATCTTGGCTTTTTCCTCTCCATGCCTTGGGGTGCTTACACATACCTTACCTTTACATGAATGATTTTAGATCAGCAACTTGTGTTTTGCACTTAAAATGACCCTTAACAGAGACATCTTATCAGGACCGTCACTGTTATTGATAGATGTCTCCCTGATCATTCCAGAGTTTTCTCTGCACATGCACTTGAACTTTATCAGACTGTGTTTTTTAAGTAAAATGAGGGAAAGTGTTTTTTTGTGTCGGCTGTGTGTGGCGAGGCAGTAAAGAAATGCTACCATACAGCATGTGTAGTAGAAACAATCTAGTGTAGTTAGCAGTGATTCCACGTAGATATTAGTCAACATGTCTTTAGCGTATGAACACCTTTAGAAGTCTTCCTCTAGTCGCCGTATCTCAGAGACAGTCAAACTGACAGAAAGACTCCAAGCTTTGTCTCCTCATCCCGCCGGGATGGAGTTAGTTCTGTCAAAAGAGCAGCTGCCTGCTGCTCCGTCAGGACTCATGACGAGTGTCACACTCTGCCCTCATGTGTCAGTCCGCTACCGTCCAGGCAGATATGCATGCTTCTGGGAGCAGTCAGACCCGGGCGGTTTGCTGCTGTTGGCTCCTCTGCAGAGAGTGGAGACACACAAACACTCTGGGTCTGTGTTTGCTGACCTCTGACCCCATCACTCTCAGCCTGTCCGCTCAAAGATAGTCCTACAATGCATGGCTCTAACTATTTACTCTGTACAGTAAGTTAAACTGAAATAAGTGGCGTGTCCTGTAGAATCTGAATGCCAGGTAGCTTTGTAGTGTGACCATGTGTACAGTATTTATGAAGAGGCCAAACATCCACGTGTTTCTTTTCATGCCTACATACTTGATTCAGTATCATGAGCTTGTGTTGTGAGCAGAGTTGAACTCTGATTGTCACTTTTTCTTTTCATTGCCAAACGTGTTTACAGACGTGTTGTGAAGGGACTTTTTCTGAAGAACTGTGTACTGTATTTCTGTGACTCTGTACGAAGTAAGAATGTGAATGTCGCTGCTGTTTGTGTACGTGAAGTGTCTCAGCCTCTGGCCTCCAGCTCCTGAAAATTAAGCGGAGCTTTAATAAACTCTTGACTTTTTCACCTTATTGCTGCAGTGATAAATGAGTGTCAGCCAGTTAATTAATTGTTCTAAAGGTGCGGCAGCGGCGGTCCGTTTGTGCGTGTAATGCCCTCTGTCATCTGTGATTTATCACCTGGGAAGTGGCCTTCTCGTTGGGAGGGGGTGGCTCCACCAAGTGTTTCTTTCCAGCACACATGGAGCTCTGTGGAGAAGGTATCTGCCGGATTCTCGCGCTGAAACACAGCCTGCATACAAATGATGGTAAGAGCTCACCTTTGGAAAAGACCTTAGATGTCTAAACTGTTCACAAATAGGCTGACAGCTCCTATCAGCTGTAAATTATGACTTTAATCAAGTTACCAGTCAGTCCAAATTAAGCTCATGTTTGGAGTTTAAAAGAAGAACAACCATACTTAAAATCCGAACCAGTTTTTTTCCATATTCTTGAGTCTAAATGACTGTCGAGGGTTTGCTAATCTTGAGAGCCTGAATTTGAACATAGCATGATGAAGACCTCAAAGTTGAGACGGAAAAACAATGTTTTTCATGAACAAAAAAAACATACTCCTTTTATATTACATGCTTTGGAGAAGGTTGGCTCGGACAATAAAACAGTGAAAAAGTGATAAAAACACCTGACAAAGATCTCTGTGAACTTACTTTGTCACTGCATTCCTTAATGGGGTTTACATCTGAACAATTCAAAGAGGAAACTGTAGAAATAATGTCCAGAAATGCAACACGTTGAAGATAGACTAAATAATATTTGACATTTCTTTTTGGAAATTATGGCCCTTTTCATGCAATAACTCAAAGATTAAGAGCAGATAAATATGACCCAGAAACACCAGAAACTTCCGTGGACCCAAGGGGGGAACTGTCCTGTTTTTAAACATCTTCAAAATTGGACATTCTGTTTGGAAATCTTGGATTTATTCACACACGCTGTTTGGACCAAGAATAATAGAACCAATTTTTTTTTCTTCAACTTCTTTGTCCTGTGAAGAAATTATTCAAAGATTTTCTGAATATCAAAGAGTGTGTCGGTTACAGCTCGCTGAACTTTGATGTCTCACCATTAAACAGGAAGTTACTGTAACTCCTTCATACGACGTTCAATCTGTTTGATATTTCATTTATGTGATCAAGATTAAGCCTTGAACACATAAATATACTTATTTTGCCAATATCATTATGTATTCATAGCGCCCCCTGTGAAAAATCATGGTAATTACTTATCAATACCATGCCTGATCTGTATTGTATTAACATCTACATATTCGTCATAATATACAGCACCACCAACAGAAAAAAAAAAATTATCTTTAACTCCTGTGTACTTCTGAATTATTATACTGCCGTAGATAAGATAACTTTGTCAAGTTCATAACCCCACCTGCTGGTAAACACTTGTCTGCAGGTTCCACGCAGGTTCTGGAGGTTCTGTTCATCTCCACTTGCAGCCTTAAATCATGTTGTACCCTAAAAAGCTAAAAAAAAAGAATCTCCAACCACAGCCATCTTTGGTGTGTGCAGGTGTTTGAGCAGAGTCTCTTTAATTTAAACACCAGTGTAAGAAGCAGACAGAGACATTTTTGGTATGAACGTCTCTGCGAAATGGAACCAACTTACCGTGGAGAACTGTAGCCGCCCCAATCCCTCATCCTCGACCCCCGGTGTCCTCGGGGACCAAACAGCAGCCTGCAAACCAGAGATGAGCTCTGCTGCAGCTGGTTTCTGGTCTGGTTTGAGGAAGAGACTGGGGGGTGAAGGAGGTGGGGGGGCATGCAGGAAGAACGGAGGGAGGGAGGGTACGAGGGATAAAGAGAGAGAAAAGCTAGCAGGGGAGGTTCTGGAAGGCAGTAACCTTTCCGATGATGAGTGCGTTTCCCATTACTGCTCTGACACCAGATCCGGGGAGATGATTTAATGGCGGCATTTTGTTTTTGCTGACTTCACCCTTTTTTTTCATCCTATTAAAACAGAAAACACCCGAGCTGGGACCACGGCTGTGTGGGAAGTGTGGCCAAGCAGCTAAAATCTATTACCCCTCAACTTCTGTCCTCGTCTCTTTATCCTGGCCATCCGGCCCACTGTGGGTTCTCTCCAATTCCTCTCTTCCTCCCCCGCTGGTTTTTGTCTCATCATCCTTTCACTGCACCGTGATTCCTCTTTACCCAATAATTTAGTCATAAAACATTGAAAATGAACGCAGAGCTCTCTATCTTCATCGATGTACTAATTATTGACTTGTTTCAACCCTCAAACAGCTGGATCCATAAAAAAGGCAGGACATGACATGTAATATATTCATATTATTTTCCAGGATTATTTAGACCTCAAACAAAAGAGACTGCATTGCTCTCTGGAAGAGAAACAAACATCAGAACGGGTTAGTCAGGGTCATATATGTATAATTGTGTTTGAATGAATTTAATACATTTAGAGTCTGTCAGATTCAGCGTCCTCGTATTATAGGAGGGCATGGGGTTGCATTGGTTATAAAGTGGACTGAGTTACTGGCCCGGTCAGTCTCTGCAGGACTCCACTTTGTCCTGCAGAAGGTGAGGGCGCAGACCTGCAGCTGAAATACACACCTCTCCGTGTGATTCACTGGGGCCCCCTGCTGGAAAACACCAGAAACTTCAGAGCTTTTTTTGAGTCAGAGCCGCAAAGATCTGTCCCCCTCTCTCAGCTTAGACGTCCGGACGAGCTAATAAAGGCAGGTGTGACTTCAGCTCTCCATTCATTACTTCCTCCTCTCTTGTAAAACAATGGCTCCTTTATAATGTTGCACTGACCCACCAGTAAATCAAAAAAAGTAGGAGCCTCCAGAAGTCCAATAATCCACTCCTTTCTATGGAGGGACAGCAGCACACTCTGTCATGGAGAAGACTCAATGGCTGAGTGCTTTGTGTCATATTGATTTCCGTCACGTGGCCTCTTCCGAGATAATTGCATTGCCCACTTGTGATAAATTCACTGCCTTGTTTCAGTCACTTGGGCTGCAGGAGAGAAAAGAAGTTTTTGAGGCTCCAAACCCACCGTCGATACCTGGAGCTACAAGCCAGGGCGGAGAGCAGTAACAAGCATCAATAACCCGACATGTTTGCTGCCTCATTGTTAATGTGTGTTTGATATTTGTCTTTGTTAAATTCTCACCTCTCGAGGGGTTAGGCCACGTAGATGCTCATCTAAACAGGCTTAATGTTTACCATCCTTAGCGTTCTCTCACAACTTACAACCAGATTTACATACTTTTCTATCAGTCTTGTGTCCAAGAGGATTGAGTGTACAACAAATAGAAAACCTAGATTCAACCTCTGTTTACAATGCTTAACATGTTTGTAGGAATTGTCTCTTTAAAGGGATAGTTAAAGGATTATGCACTCGGTGATCGACTCATCAGGGCTCCCCCACAAACAAGCTGCTGCTGGAGGAGAGGGGGTGAGTTGTGTTCGGTTCATGCTAAAGAAATTAGGCAAAGTTAAAAAGATGTTTGGTGGCTAGTGCTGTGGCTGGGACCCTATATGTACTGTTGATGAAGTTAGGTGCTGTTCTGAGCATTATATGTGGCTATAGAGTGGCTTTTTAGTCGAGGTTTGCATGTGGATCCATAGACCGCTGTGTATTGCTATCCTGTGGTCATTACTAAAGTTGGTATTACTGGAGAAGCAAGCGGTCAGCAATATTCATCTCTCGAGGGGATGTCTAACTTGACATTTTGTTTGACCCTGTCTTAATTTTATGCCAGAATATCCCTTTAAGGCCCCCCAGTATTTGGTAACCCAGCACTCTAGAGTTCCTCTCCTCTGTTGCCATGCTATAAAGTTGTGGTTTCTCTATTGAAGATATTACATTATGAATGTAAGCAGGACATTCTGTTTCGTAAGTGTACATACATTTTGCTCCTTTTTCGAGATTTATCAATCTGTGCTGTCACAAGTCAAGGAAATCTTGCTCAATTCTTGTGTACAGCCTGCACGCTAATCCAGGTTTAAAGTGATTTACACTTACCCTCACAATTTTGAATGTCCACATCTAATATTGATATCTAACATTTTAACTCAATAATTGTTTATATGACATGAGAAAGCATAATAACCCCCCCCCCCCAACACACACACACACACCTCGGAAAAAATATATATTTTTGTTTTCCAGCTATGAAGTCTGTTGTGTTTTTTTAAGACAAAAAATGTTGAATTTCTTGCAGTTTTTGGTTGCCAGAGTATCACCTCAGAAAGTTCTGTCTCTGTACGGATCCTCTCTCTCTGAATTGTAACTGATATATTTTTCAAGTCCGAGTCTTTAGCACGGTTATTCAGTGTAGTTACGTTTACATTTCAGTGAATTTCTTTTCTGGTTTTGTTCAAAGATGAAGACCCCTTGTCATCTGTTGTGCTGGCATTACCTCCTTTTGACGCTCATTCTGGACTCGGGTGTCACAGTGATGTTTAGGAGGATGAGATGAAACAGATTACCAGCTCACAATTGTTGACCATCGACATTGAATGGCGAGGACAGGGTCTCAGGGTGATGCCAGTGGGTTGGGGGGGATCTGAAACTTCACACACAGAGATTAAACAGCAGATGAAAGTGGACAGGAATCACCAACCAGGTGCAACATGTGTAGCAGACAAAAGCGATCAATCATGTCCCCTCCAACGCCTCACCTCCAATAAGATTACATCAATCAATACTCACTCTTATGAGTGATTGGATTTTGTCTGCTTCCAAAGTACAAGGGAGGGGGGGTGAGGGGGAGGGGGCTGCTCAATTTTCCCAATGATTAAAGCAGGGCCAAATTGGTTTGATAACATCAAGGACCTTGTCTGTGGCTGGTGTGTAAGGGCAGCACAGGGAGCATAGAGGCTTACACACTGAACACCCTGAGGGCAGACTCTGACTACGTTAAGATGATCGGTGTCTGAATTCAGAATCCTCCAAGAGCGCTAAAATGTAGTTTCAGTGGATCAAAATGGAAACTAAGAGCATCTGTTTCCTCATGACAAAGAAGTTCACCAGTTTGATCATGGAGGAAACCCATGGCTGTGTTCCAGGAGTCGTTTTAAATTGTGAGGTGGGGCACTGACACATTCTGATGACTTAAATCTTAGGGGTTGACCAATATTAGTTTTTAGGGCGATATTGATATGAGTATTTCATGAGCCCAACATCCGATATCCAGAACCTATATGAGTTGACAATAAAAACGAAAATCAAGAATGTAAATATCACAAACTTTGCAGATAGTTAACGTTGGATCAAAACACAGATGGATCAGTTGTGGGTGAGATGTTAGATAAGATGCTCCTGCAGTGGAGCCAAAGAAGTGCTCTTCTTTTGGTTGTTTTAGTTATTTGGCCATCTTTAAAAACAAAGGATGATACAGATAATCATCCAAATGCCAATAAGGGCTGATGGTAGGTTTAACCTATAAAAAAAATTCCTAAAATGTTCATTATTTGAACATCATGATCAATTTTTGAAGTGTGAACAAATTCAAAGCTGAGGTGTATTCCCCTCTCCAGAGCAGAAGACACAGTGTCTCAGATTTCCAGAAAGAATGTCAAATATAATTTTCTATCCATCATTCGTACTAAGTTTGATGCTTAAGTAACATGCTGTATCTGTACATTAAAACCTTCCTTTGATCACATTTGAAAAGTGATCAGTTGACAGACTGTCATGAATCCTTGCCACGTGAAATATGAGGGTGTGTGAGCTTCCAGATTTAGAGTCAGGTGGAGAGAGTTTTGCTCTCCTTGCACGGTTAAATGAAGATTAAAGACCACATTATTACACTCACACTCTCTGAGAAAACTGTGTACCTGCACCAGCGAGCACTGCTTTAATTCACAGACACACAGCTAACCTTACAGAGGATTCATTAAGGTGGAGTAATTAGTTAACGTGCGTGGAGTCGTCACAGTGTTGCCGAATAAAACGAGCCCTCCTGTGAGTCTGGATCCTCTTCAAGAGTCTCCAGCAGAGAAACTGAAGCGTTTGCTCCTTCCTCTTGGCCTTGGCCACAGACTCATGTGAAATCAATTGAGCGGTATGTGTGCAACAAAAGGAGCGTGCTCATTAGCAGCACACAAACACTTTGGTCATTTGTCTTCTATTCACTGGGTGGCCGGAGGGCGCTTTAAATTCCCATCGTTACCCGGACAGATATGCGCGTGTATGCGTACATGTGTGCGTGCGTGCATGTGTGTATGTGTTGGGGGGGATCCACCTGCCTCTGCATATCTCTGCTAATGTGCAGCAGCTGTTAACTTATGCTTCTACAACTCATAAGATGCCAATTATCTGTGCCAATTAAATTTCTGCTCTGATTTGGAGTAAATCTCACCAACTTAATGTGTAAACACTATAAGCTTTATTATCAGAATGATTTCACAGCTTCCCTCAGACTCGTGCCAGAGAGCCGCAGCCATAACTTGATGCTTATTAGAGTTTGGCTCTTCAAGGTCTCTGAGGAGTCTCTACTGTTTTTTGATGGTTAATTACAGGATAATATTTTTTTATTGCAGATTTAAACTTGCTTTAATTCTTATTTTTAGCTGCCATTTTAAGGTTGATTAAATCACTTAAGATTCAGGCCATTTTTTATGCAGCTACAGTTATTATTTTATACATTTCTAAAATGTAAAAATATAAACAGATAAAGATTGTTTCAGCTGTCGGCAGTTAAACAGGCTGTAATGGTTGTAAAATATCAGATTTTTGGAGGGGACTCAGCGGGAATTTTATGTAAATACAGCAGCTAATTATTGACAGGTCAGCTGACCACAAATACAGCCTCAGATTGGTCAACAGCCAGGAATAAAGATAGCAGCCTTAATTTAGAATAGACCCCAACAAGAAAAATGACATTATTTTACTAAAATCGACGTAATAAATGTTCCTGGTTTTTGCAAAAACACATAGACTTCATCCTCTGAAAGCTGCTGGTCTCATATAGTGAGTGGATTTTACTGTTGCAAGGATCTACCGTATATATTTCAGAAACCAAAATCAGTCCCTCTAAAGCCACTTTTTTGTATGGCAATTTTTTTTTCTTATGATTTGCTTTTTTTAAATACAAAGGAATAAATCTAAAGCTCCCATTTTGAAGAACTTAAAATTCCCTCTTCATTCACTTCTGTAGTTAGCTGAGGTCTCTATATTGTCTCTCTGAAAAATGATCCTACAATATCTACAACTTCACATTAAACTTTTTCAAAGTTTAGTGTCAGATGCTCAGTAACTTATTCAGTCTGAAAACCAGACAGACTTTGTAAACCTGCAGAGGGTCAGCCTCTCTATGTCATAGCTCGAGGCGCAGACACAGTCCATCATATCATGTCTGTCTGTATAATCATCAGATCTGAAACCAACAAACTGCCTAATTTCTTTCAGTAAAATCATCCAACACAGAGCTGGCTTCACGTCAAAGACGATGAATTGATATCCAAACACACAAATCATGCGCAGACAGCTTCTTGGACTGAGTGTTTGACATGATTTCACAGTGTTTGTCCTGAAAGTAAAGCAGGAAAACTAGAGATATCTCTGTACAGTGAGTCAGTGTGAAGGAGCAGTGCTGATTAATTCACGGTACAGTCCTCTGGTAAGTTTAATGAAGGAGAGCAGATCAGTAGGTTCACACAGGTGTGTCTGACAGAAGAAAAATAACAAACTACTTTCTGGTCCTTTAAACACCTGGACAACCTGGGTTTGGACCCCTTTTTCCTGTTTATGGAGTCATGATGCTCCAATTGTTTTAATGGGTGACAAGTCAAGACAAAAATGGCATTATTTACTTAGGAGAAGTTGATGACAGTGATTCAAAATGGTCAGATAATTTTCTAAAAACAGTCAAATTCTCACTTTTAACACTAAATATATTGTTACACTGATACCAGTGTAGGTACCAGATATGTTGAAGACGTCACACTATTGCAAGTCCACTCAAACTACATTGCACTCCATTTAATAAGTCAGATGTGCTCAGTTAAAAGCCCCTCGCAGTTTTCTTTATTTCTGTTTGTTTAATTCAATTGACCTCGAAATTTTCTCGCCATATAATACAGAGAATTACAACTGACTGTACTTTGGTTTTAACTGTAGATGTTAACTTTTCTAAAGGAAAAAGAAAAAAAAATGTAGGCGGGATCTCTGTTTATCAAGAGATACTTTTGCTTTTCCCCACATTTCCTTTGTCAACCTCAAAGAGGCGGTAGTCCTGCTATCTTAAGTCACCTTGGATAAGTAGTAGTAGTAGATTACATCATAAAATTTGTCCATGTTTTCTCTGAAGAACTATAATCCCATGAAACCTAATCTGGCAAAAACCGCTTCTGTAATGTCCGGACCAACCACAATCTTCTACCGCATCCAAACCAACTTCCCAACAATCATATAGCATGAAGTCATCAATAGGCACCAGGCCCCGAGCCGATCTAGCAGCCCAAACACATCTGTTACCTACACCAGCAATAGGGATAAGACTGTACTTTTCACAATAAACTATCTGCTCCATTCTTTCTGTTAATTCTACTTTGTTCTGTTCTATTCGACTCTGCTCTGTCCTACTTTGTTTGATTCTATTCTATTCAGGCTTAACTTTGTTGGGATAGTCAACGGTTGGATAGGACATAAACCTAGCAGGAGTTTATGATGAATGATCATCAGAATAGGCGCTTTACCTTTAATCTTCTTATTTTGAATTTGCTCAGCTTCAGTACATCTCCAGTTAGCAGAAGCAGCAGAGGAAGTCAATTGACACACAGTCAGATACATTAAAGGGAGTGTGAATCAGAGCCAGGAGAGGTGGACCTGTGACTGCAGCACAAAGAGAGGAGACTTTTCCTTTAATCATTTATGAGCCTGACTGCCCTTCAAAGAGCTCCCCCTGCCTCCTGGTAAACACACACACACACACACTCCACAATTAGAGCCAATTATGTCCTAATCAATGGAGGAGATTCACAGTCTCCAATGAAAATCTGATAACCGCTTTAACAGCCGGGGAGGTCAACCTGAACCGTCTCTATTCGTCTCCATTACTGCGGGGAAAAAGGACGAGGTAAGGTGTTTGAAGAAATAGACATAAACATAACAAGACAACAGCAGCAAAACATGTATCTGAGGGTTCAAACACACGTAATAACAGCTTTGTAGATCAATATTTAATGCATGAATCAGTGTACACCAGTCGCCTCCTGCAGGAAGGTTTCCTGTCAGTGTTTCTATGGGAGTCCTGAGTGTGTTTGGCTCACCTGAGGACACAGACATCCATCTGACGCTAACAGGACCTGTATTCACCCTGCTGCAGACGTGAACTATAGTCCAGCCAGCAGCTGTGTGAGGTCAAGGCGGTGCGGTGATCAGAGGGACTTTAAAATGCATTAACAAAGTCTCATGACTGGCAACGAGCTGCTCTGTCAGCATCCATCACAGCTCCTCTCACTGCGGAGGACTGAGGTTTATTAATGTCAGGAGTAACACCCATCCTCCCCCTCCTCTCCCTTCAGGTGTGACGAGTGCCGGCTATGCTATCACTTTGGGTGTCTGGACCCCCCGCTGAAGAAATCCCCCAAACAGACGGGATACGGCTGGATCTGCCAGGAGTGTGACACCTCCTCCTCTAAGGTGAGTCTGGACTCTGTTTAGGGTCGAGAGGGCAGGATTTGGTGTCTTTATCATGAAAGTAAACGCAAGGAAATCTGTCAACATTTGCAGTTTATGGTGGTTTTTAAACGTGGATGTAAACCCTTGAAACTTTCAGGCTTTCATAGCGCCCCCTGCCTGTTACTGACTGTTCATTATCCCTGTGTACTTTGGTATTTTAGCATGCACAATTAATTCTTTCTCCCATCTGTTTTTGTCTGTTGTTTGATTGTTTAAATTGCACCATAAACAGCCTCTGACCCGACAGATGTGTCTCTGTTATAATGCCTCGAAAATGGCAGTCCTCCGTCCTGCTGGGCTCTGAGTACATGGAAAATGGAGGCTGATTGATGCTCCTGCAGAGGGAAATAAAGAGGATAATAAAAGCTTGATAGTGAAAACGTTGAATCAGAGGAACAAACTGTTCAGCTATAAAGAGAGCCAAAGGTCAGAGCTTTGCTTAATGTTAAGTGGTCACCAGATTAAATCACTGCCTTTTCAAATGTACCATTTGTTTGGTTTTATAGCCAGTGGTGAATGTACACACAGTTTATATTTACGCACAAGTGTTTACTTTTTCAAACAAAGGACCAGCAGAAAGTTTGACCAATTACAACCTTAAGTTCTGCAGATGGATGATGATGCATTAGTGGATCCATTCTTCACTTTAAGAGCTTTGGCCTCATTTTAACCAGAATACTTCTCCTTCCTACTCCTGCTCCTCTCCCTGCTCTCCTCCTTCTTCTCACTTCTTTCCTCTTTCTCCTCTCTCCACTTGCCCCCTCATTAAGTCTTGAATATTATATTTTTACGATCCTGTAGAGTCAATACTGCTTCTTTTTTGAGGAGAAATAACACACACAAAAAAAAACAGCAGTGTCAGAGGGATACATGTCTTTTGTTGTGGTATTACAATGTTTGTAACTTCATTCCGTGGGAGAGCCTTCACTACACCATTTAGTTGTGATTGCCTTCTTGGTGGCAGCCAGAAGTATTTTGACCAGATAATTGTCCTCACACTTTTCCCTGTCAGGTTACACAGATATAACACCTCAAATGACATTGGTAGTTTGTATCCCGGTATTTTCCCCAAGTCAACCCATACATCATTCCAGTATTTTTTTTACCTTAGTACATTACCAAAAAATATGAGTATGACCTGAACTCTTTCCACATCCTGGAGCTTGCAGTGGTTCTTTGTTTATCACATCTGTTACACCAGTCATCTTCTATTAGCGGTGTCCTACTCTCTTTTACCCATCTGTCTCGAATGAACAATGTGGAGGTTCCTCTGTTCTTTACCAGACCTTGATATAAAAATGAAATCACTGTCTCAGTATTATTTTTGTACGCCTCACATGATGTCGCAGTTAATTTATTTAGTTCTTGGGGAAATTCTGGTTTGATTTCTTTTTCAAAGAAGTCTTTAACAAAACTGTGTTTCAAATTGAACTTTGATCAATCATCTAATTTCAGATTGAGACTCTCAGGGTAAATTGGCTCTGTCTTTGGGAACCTCGTGGTCTGATCTGTACTCTTTGACTAAACTGACTCTAAATTTTTATACCCATGAATAACATTTGATGAAAAACTGTTAGGCAAACATTCAAATCTGGACTTTTTTTAAATGTCAGCAGAACATTTCAGGAAATCTAAGTTATGATGGACATCAGAGCCCTGAGAGAATGTGGTGTTTGGCTGCTCTCATCCATAGTGAATGCATGTTTCACAACTGCAGGATGAATCCTTATACTGGAGCCAGTCCAAACGTTTGACATTACACCAAAACATCTGTCAAAAAAGAGATGAGGATGGTAGAAAGTCCTAGAATTTCCCTTTCAGTTCCTGGTGTTTTATTGCACCGTAAGAGTGGTTATACTGAGAGGAGGTTACTGGTTTTATCAGGAGGAATCAGATCCTCTTTTTCATTTACAGTTTTATTCTGACAATCTTTAAAAACAAACAGTTAGCAGTTAATGAACCAGTCCCTGTAGTTTCCACTCCCTCAGCCCTCCTTGTTCTGCCTTGTCTTCAACTATCCTATCTCCTTTCCTCCGGAGACCCATGTCCTCATGAAGTTCCCCCTTCCTCCTCCTCTTCTTCTTCTTCTTTCCTCCCACTTGTTGACATCAAACGCTCAAACCTCCAGCCTTCAGCTCTCTCTGCCCCGGAGCTCGGCGACATTTCTCTGCTGACAGAAGGATAACATTTTCGTCATTGACGTGACAAATAAGTGTGAACGTCTGGTTTCTCTCTGTCCCTTTACTGAGCAGAGATGACTTGTTTTGAAGGACTGTAGGAAGTTCAAAGTGTTACTTTAATCTGTTTATGTTTCACAGAGACGCTTGTATGGGAGGAAAGCCTTGTTAGAAGCATTTCTACTCTTCAGTTTGAGCTGAAGATGTGTGTTTGAGCAACAAATGGATGAAAGGAGCCCACACGTGTACAGCGTTTTCTTAATGTTACAGGGTCTACATTTGGAGAGGCATTTAAGAGTGTGACATTTTTGAAAAAGCATGGTGTACAGACCTTTTAAGGCGCGAGGTGCTCCGAGTGTCTCAGTAATAGCAAGTGTGGGGAGATAATTGACTCCACTAAGGGCATCTAAAAAGCACTCGGAGATGAGAGCTGTATTTAAGGAAAGTTTTATTATCTGCTTTTAAATGCCAAGCCGTGCTCCATTTTTGCCTGTGGGGGGAGGATGTTTCTTAAATGCCAGCATTAAGTGCAGAATATTACCTGATCGCAGCGGCTGAGATTCAGCTGCCAGCAGAGATAGCTGGCGGTCAACTCCTCTGCATGACAGTCTGCTATAAAGAAGAGTGCAGGCAGTGGTTTGTCAAAGCTCCCTGCAGCCACAGCTCTTATCTTAGAGGAAGATGTATGACATCTGAGGGGAGGGGTTCGCAGGAAGCAGCACAGAGGATCCTACAGCGTTTGATGCTGACCACCATTTGGGTTCAATGTCTTTGAGAGGAAGCAGGTTTGTAGTTTTCAAAAGAATCAGGTTTGCTTGATGTGGGAACTTTTCTTTGGTTCTTTGGTACGGTTCAGAAACATTTGGGTCATAGTTATATGAAGGCTGCCTGTCCACACTCAAAGAAGGAAGTATTGTGGTGGTTCAAGGTTTTTCAAAACTTTATCTCGTGTATTTTGGGCAACAGAAACAGGACTGCTTCATTAAGCAGTGATAGAACAAGCCATAATGGTGGCAGCATATGGGCCCATCTGTACTGACAGCTTTTTGTGGAGACAGTCCCTATTTTCAGTCTGCAGTTTGGTGTTTTTGTTTTGTCTCCTTGCTCTCAGCTGAAAAAATTGAACTTTGCATACTCAACCAGTCTCGTCAGTGTCGCCACTCCTTCACTGGCCAATAGAAATCAAGGAGAGGCGGGACCTCTGATGTTAACGTTGTACTATAGTTTCCCAATCTGAAAGAAATCATGGCTCAATTGTGCAAATATGAAAGAGACAGGGATGCAACCAGACAAGACGTAAATTAAACCCAAAAGCTTTATCTATTGTGAGGAGATTAGAATAACAAAATTGGTTCAAAATGAGATGAATGAGTACAACACACAGCAGAAGCCTTTAGAGTCTTAAAGTCCAAACTCAAGTCTGAAGATAAGCATTTCAAAAACAGTTGCAGACAGATGAGAAAGCCTGATTTTACCTCAAATGTAGACCTCAGTTAAATAAAAGTTAAATCTAGGGCTGTACAACATTGAACAAAACTGACCCTTAAGAGCTACAAACAACTTAATCTTTCAGGAGCACAGTTATAATATCCATGATCTGGATGTTTTAGTCTTTTATTGCCTTCAAATAAAGTTCTTCTTCTTCTTCAAATCTAATACCCCTAAATTGATTTCACTGTCAGGCCTTCTGACTGTGATTAAACACGCGGCTTATTTACTAATCTGTAATCAGTCATTTCTACTGATGATAGACATTTTGTTTAATCCATATCACAAGCCCGTTTATGATGGTAACTTAAACAACTCATCCGTTGACTCTGATCAGACCAGGAATATTTGACAGTTTCTTTAAACCCACCTGAATAAACAGAAATGATCTTAACCAGAACTTTGCTGTATTGTGGTCTGATCACAGCCGCTCACTCAGATGCTCATGGTTCTTTGTTTGCCCTGGTGTCCTGATGTCTGTTATTGACGCCTTGATTAACACTGCTTGTCCCTGCAGTGTTGTTGTTGTGTTGAGATGTTTGTACAGTTATAACACAGGAGCCGCTGGGTTACGGGAACACGCAGGAGCTGATGGTTGGTGTCATTGCAGGCGTGTTCCTGTTGTGCAGAGGGCCAATAAAAGGCTTTATTAGTCAGGCTGGAGTTCATTACAGACGTTGTGTTTCTCCCAGCCTGCTTGGCTTCGATAAACCTCTCTCTGACCAAGGCCACATCCCTCCTGCTGTCCTCCCGGGCCTTCGCTGAATTGATTTCAGTAATAAAGTGGTAGTCTTTCTATAATATACGGACAGCCTTTAATTCCAGCCTGTTAGCGTGCCAGGAGCCGCTTGTTTAAAGCTTTATTTACACCCTTGCAGCGGCGCCCGGCCTGCCGAGCTGCACGGTGAATCAGAAACTGGAAGATTTGGATAAAAGGTTTGAAATGCCAAAAGCTCTTAAAGCTGCTCTAACAGTGTTTAAAGTACTCAGGCGTGAACCTGTGTGGGATGCACCACTTTAGCCGCTCTCAGACTGGTCGTCGTCAAAAGGACTGCAACTGTAGAAATTATAGTGCGTAAAAGTTTCATTTTCTCCTCTTCCTCCACAGCCACAGGCCCACTCCCACTCAGAAAACAGTGTGTATTTGAAGTTCTCCATGTTTTCCACGCAGAGCTTTCATATCTGTCTGTGTGCATATGCTCGCCTGTTTCCTCTGCAGGCTGTTTATGAAGCTGAAGTGTTTGTAATTATTGATGTTTGTAGCTGCTAATGTTCATTCTGATGTTCAGAGGAAGATTACCTTTACAAGCGGCGCCATCAATCAGAGGCTTCATCACTTGACCTGTGAAAGACTGTAATTAAGTTAGTCTAATTAGCTTAATGAAGTGTCACACTCGGCTGGCTTTACTATATTGAGGAAATTGAAAGAAAAATAGGCGTCATTACTCATCAGATGCTCTGAGCGAGGCAGAGGGAATGTATTTTTACCAAGTATCAGGGTGAAACAATCTCACCTTTGGCCTCCTTTGATTCTCTCAATGAGGCGTATTTCATTAGCATTGTGATTGGTTTAATCAGTTTCATCGGAGCGTTTATGGAATGGAGAGAAATCCCTGAGTGTGATTTAAATTTCTGCCTCTCCACTTTCTCTGATCTGTATTCAAGTTTAATCTTTAAGGACTGCGATCGATAAGTCAGGGCTTTTACTCGAGTGTATGAGGTGCTTAGAGCATGATAACCTCATCAATGAGGGCTGTCTGCTAGACGTGGCCAAAGTTTAAACACAGTTTAATGTGATTTACAGGCAGCCACTGCCAGCTAAACAGGAGCAGCTAGCTAAAGTGGCCTGCAGGGAGCACAGGACATGGTCAAGGGTGGCCAGGCGGGACGCCGAAGACGAAGAGAAAATCAATGGCTGGGAGTCACCTCAATCACTTTAACTAGGCGCTGCAGACGCCCGCGCCCCTCTCAGGGGCCAATTTGTGGAGTAAACAGGAGTGTGTGATTGCAGTGCAGGTCCCCGGTGACCGAGCAGTCCATTTTTCTGGACCTGGCTCATTCTAATAACCCTCTTAGCGCAGGGCGTACATGAGACCACCCTCGGACCCCCTCAATGTTTTATGGTCATAAACAGTGGACCCGGCATGAGCAGCAGCTCCTTCAGCCTTAAAATAACGTCCCCCCTCCTGACTCCTGCTGTGTGGGCAGAAAGCACACTGTAGGCTAATGGCTCTCTGCGTGGAGACGCGTCTGTTTCCTGTAATAAATATACATTATAGGCTTTAACATCTTGATGTGTGAACAACAAGATGTTACAACCACAGCTGGGAAAAGAGAAACTTTGGACACAGTTCAGCCGAAACGTAGAGGTCTCTTTTCACAGGTGTCTGCTTTTAAAGGTAGAATAGACAGACGATGTAATGTGAATCCTTTCTACATTAATGAAGTTCTGTAGAGTCATAACTGTGCCAGATTTGTAGTAATTTATATCTCAGACCATCTCAGTTTGCTTTTTGTTTTTGAATTAGATTACCGAGTAAGCATCTCCACTCTCTGCTGCTCAGAGCTGCTCTGTGAACTCTAATCCTGACGGCACTATAGTGCAGTGATTCAACCTGTGTGCTGCAGCACACTAGTGTGCTGTGAGAGATTGTCAGGTGTGACAAAATAGGGAAATTATCCAATTTGTAAATAATATGCCATTGTCGAGTGTCTGTGCTGTCATAAAGTGAGTGTCAGAATAATACTCTTCTATGTCACTCTGTGGCAGCAGACGGCTAATTGCCTTAAAAAAAAAAACTAAAAAGAGAGAGAGAGAGACTAAAAGCTGTTAAGGAGGAGTTTTGTGTGTGTGTGTGTCCTTCTTCCATTACTTCCAGGATATCAGCTTTGTGCTCATTTAAACAGGGTAAGGGCTCACACTGAGTGATTATAGTTAAATTTAAAAACTATATTACTAACTATATTCTACTATTTATACTGTGTTAGACGATAGAGTGTCATTATGGTTGGCGGTGTGCCCCAAGATTTTGTCGATGTAAAAAATGTGCTGTGGCTCAAAAATGTTTGAAAAACATCGCTATAGTGTATATAATGTGCTGAATAGAGATGTCGATTTGTGATAGATGTGACTCTGAATGTCCTTTTTAATATCCAATCATGTGACTAACCTGTTAGATATTATCCTCACTTGTTTGAGATGTTCTCCCAGCTATTTTTTAACATTACCCTACTTTTCACCGGTTTAGTTGTTCCTCCATAAGAACTTTTAACCTGTTTGGTTGTTCCTTTATAACAACTTTTTTCTTGTTTGGTTGTTCCTCTTTAAGAACTTTTTAGAAATGTGCTGATTTCATTAAATATAAAATGAGCAGATATTTATCATAAACCCTCACTTTTAAATCTGAACATTTGATATGTTTGCCTTTTTTCATCTTCAGTCAAGTTTATGGTTTTAAAGATGTTAACACAATCAAAATTTGTCTTTATCGTCTTTTGCATCCTTTCTTAAATTGCAGTTGGATAAGAAAATCTCAAACACCGAATACAGGCTAGAATTTGTAACCAAAATATGTGGTACCACTGATTCACCTAAGGTCAAGGGATTCCTAATGTACATCAACATATCGTCAGCATATAAAGATTGTCATTATATACTTCAGCTGTTAAACCCGAAATTTTGCCTCTTTCTTTTAATTAAGATACAAACCGTAAATGCTTGCGGTCTGCCTGCCACTTGCCGCCTTTTTAGTCCATCCATGTGTTTTCTGTTTTTCACAGGCTGGCTCATGTTGATGAAATAAGTGTACAGGCTTTAAATGAAACCTGGATCAAACATGCTGATTTCTCTGTGTTGTCCAAAGCATATTCAGCACTCCTCCTCCTCTTTCATTTCTTATTGTGAGATATTTTCACGCCTTCTCTGTGACCTGCTGCGTATTTTCAGCTTCATTCAGAAATAAAACAGAAAAACACACCAATAGTTTTACAGGATAAAAGCACTCAGGCTCTTTATGATCCTCTGCTTTATGCTAAACACTTCAAATAGAAATCAAAGAGAAAGCAGCCACTGTGTATCCTTTTCCAGCAGGCTGTAAAAGGATACACAGTCTGACCGGGCGATAAAAAGAAAAAGCAGCTTGTGAATTTGACTCTGATTAAATTAGGTGTTGCCTGGTAACTTCGGCTGGTACCAGTCATGCCTCACTGAAATGGAAATACGTTTTCTGGAAGGAAAAAAAAGGGTGTCAAAGAACGCCCTTTGTAATAAAAGAAAATGGGAATTGCAAATATGCACAGTCATGAAATTTAATTGTGCTCTGAGGTTTGTGGATGCTGAGGAGGAGGAGGCTGTGAGGGGGCAGAGGTGGTTAAATGTAGCGCTGAACAGGCTAATGAAGCCGCTGTTTATGACCCATTGCAAGTGTGTCAGCTCCTCAATGGCGACAAGACGCCAGGACACACACAGAGGCACTTAAGCACGCGCACACACACACATTGAAATGAGCTCTTGTTTACTAAATGTGGTATTGTCTGCAGTGAGTTTTATTAATGTTTTTAACATTTTTAATAGGAAATGAGCTCAACTGTCATTAAAAAGTGCATTTTTGGATTTAACATCAGACATGACTTATAAATGGGCTAAATAAGCTCATTAGATACTAAATATTTATCAAGCCATATACTCAAGAATAAACCCAACTTTTACATGATAATAGAAAACAGTAAGAGCTCTTTATAAAAGGACGATCTGATAGTGAACTGTGCAGAAGCCCACAGTTGAGCTGTTTCAATAAAAACTCTGCAAAACTGGTTCCTGATAGACTCCAGTCATGTTCCAGCAGAACATACCCGGTGGACAGATGTTGTTGACTATGTACAAGTCATTTAAGTCGGTAGTTTTGTAAATATCTTGAAACAAAGATTTTATCCAGACTTCTCTTTATCAGCTAAGTCAGCACTTTAGGAGTGCAGCACTTTAGGAGTGCTGACTTTATCTTTTTTTAAAGTCTGATAGTCGAAATAAAATAAAAGATATCTTGGTTTCCAGTTTATTAAGTATACTTGGAATTAAGATTTCTGTTGAAGAGAGTAGAGGAGATTCAGGACTTCTCAAGGTCACACATCAGCTCACTCTGACCACACATAGACTTTCCAACAGGGGCCTAGAGAGGTCAGGGTCAGATCAAACTGTTCAGTCTTTTTGAGCTTTTGTCTATTGTCTAGGGATGGGTGATATAGGCTAAAGAATTATCACGCTAAGATTTGCCAGTTTGGTGATAACGATAAAAGTCCCCATAAGTATTATAATTCCAGTCAATATTTTTTGACTCATTTTGTCTTGAGAACACCAGTTGGAGTAGTCCAATAAGATACTGAACCACAAGTTTGAGTGGTAGGTTATGGAAAAAACTAGAGACACCAAACAAGTCTCCAGTGTGAAAACATTTTCAACATTTGTTGAAAACTCTTATTGCACAGGGTGAACAGCAGCAGATCCAGTGTCAAACATACCTGATTACACTCATCTTAGCCCCAATCTTAAAGGAAATCCCTCATGAGGAGCCTCGTTCAGTAACCAGCTGCTCAGAAACCTCTTCCTCATTACCTTCAGCCATGATTGTTTGTTATTTTGATCTGTGTGGGCTATGGCTGCGAGTCCATCACTCGGGCCTTTGTCATCAACTTGCATTTATCGTATTTATCATGAGATGGCAAATATTTATCATGGAGGATTTTCCCGACGATATATTGTGAACGATAAATTATCATCTATCCCTACGATCGTCCTTTATAAAGTCAAGATTTAGGCTTATATTTTTTTTTCTAAACTATGTTGATGCCTCCCCCTGCTCCTCTCCCTGCTCTCCTCTCTCTCCTCCTCCTGCTCCTGTCTCTGCTCTCCTCTCTTCTTCTCCTGCACCTCTCCCTGCTCTCCTCTCTCCTCCTCCTCTCCCTGCTGTCCGCTTTCCTCCTCCTGCTCCTCTCCCTGCTCTCCTCTCTCCTCCCGCTCTTCTCCCTGCTCTCCTCTTTCCTCCTCCTGCTCCTCTCCCTGCTCTCCTCTCTCCTCCTGCTCCTCTCCCTGCTCTCCTCTTTCCTCCTCCTGCTCCTGTCTCTGCTCTCCTCTCTTCTTCTCCTGCTCCTCTCCCTGCTCTCCTCCTCCTCTCCCTGCTCTCCTCTTTCCTCCTCCTGCTCCTCTCCCTGCTCTCCCCTCTCCTCCTACTGCTCCTCTCCCTGCTCTCCTCTGTTCTCCTCCTGCTCCTCTCCCTGCTCTCCTCTCTCTCCTCCTCCTGCTCCTCTCTCTGCTCTCCTCTCTCCGCTCCTGCTCCTCTCTCTGCTCTCCTCTCTCCTCTTCCTGCTCCTCTCTCTGCTCTCCTCTCTCCGCTCCGCTCCTCTCTCTGCTCTCCTCTCTCCTCCTCCTGCTCCTCTCTCTGCTCTCCTCTCTCCCCCTCCTGCTCCTCTCCCTCCTCTTCCTGCTCCTCTCCCTGTGCTTCTGTTTCCAACAGGGGCTGCCTGATAGTTTTTTTTGTCTGCTGTTGCACAACTCTCACATAGCAATGCTGCACAATGTAATTTAGTCTCCATGAGTATATTTCTATGATCGTGGGTCATCAAAATAGTTGTCTAAACTGAAATGGTTATTTTTTGATAACTAACCATGCAACATTTAAACATTTATGATGCATCGAACAGTTTAAATCCATTGTTAATGTCTTGTAGATGAAGAGTAAGATAGGTTTTAAAGTCACCATATGCACAAACAGAAACACACTCAGCCTTTATCTGTCATCTAAGTCTATTTATGACTAATACTTTTGTTTCTTCATTATGAATATGCAAATTTTAAAGCAGAATTTTGATCAATGGGTGTGATTCACTTTATGCAGCGCTGCAGTTTTCATGCACACATGGCTTCCTCCTAATGAACTGGCTTTAACCTCAGTGTGCTCATGGATTTTCATTTCCATAAAGCCTGATGCTCCTTCCTTCCCCTGATGTTTGCAGCGTTGCACAGAAACGTGCAGGATTGCGTTATTATCAGTGTAGCTGAACATTTATCTCTCAGTGAGGGGGGTGAATCCATCAAAGGAGAGAGGACAGTATAGAGCCGAGTCTCTCCTGCGCACACAAACACACACACACACACACACACACACACACAACGTGGAGTGTAAAACACTCTCATAAATAAATACAGAGAAAGCAGAAAACAGGATAAGGGAATCAGTCACACTAATTAACTGCTAATTCTTTTGAGGACTGTAGAGGCTTGATAAAGAAAGAGGAAGCTTATTTAAGTGCGCGCTGTGTTGTACATTATGATTTCTTTACAGTGCTGTTTAATCCCACTTTATGAGCTTGATTGTACACTATATACGTGTGTGTGTGTGTGTGTGTGTGTGTGTGTGTGTGTGTGTGTGTGTGTGTGTGTGCGCGCACTCGCATGTGTGTGTTGCATCTCCACTTGTGCTTGTCTTTGTTGCCACCTTACGCTCAGTCGGATCCCTCCTCCTCTTTCTCTCTTCATCATGTGACTCCATCGCTCTGCTCCTGCCCTTTAAGACGTCGACCCTAACCAGAATGAGAAATGTGGCATTTCATTATCATACATGTATATGTTAGAGCCAGAGGGTCTGCCAGCCTGAGAGGAGCAGGCGGGGAAGTCAAACCCACCCTCCTCCTCCTCTTCTTTTTCTCCCTGGAGGAAAGTGATGGAGATATCCCACAATGCCAGAGCCCATTAGCTCCTGCAGGCTCTTCAAGGGGGGTAAGGGGGTCTTTAAACGTCTCAAGCAGAGGCCACTGATGCAAAACACAGCTCCATACCTCCACCTCTGTGGTCCACAGTGAGGGAGCTCTGTCCTGTTTTCAGGATCAGCAGCTGGAGCGATTGTAAACGTGGTGAAATTGTTAACAAGACTTTGTAAAAGCTTCAAATATCTAATAAAATTATAGGTTAAGGACTCTTATTATGACCATGACAGGATCTTCGATTTGTTATCCCCAGGTGATTAAAAAAAAAAAAAAAAAAACAGTATTACAAATCTACGATCTTCAGCACTTACCTTTATTCATATATTCATTATTTTTTATAGAGAAGTTTGTCTCTTATTTCAGTCCCTGTGCAATTTTTCTATGAAGATTAAATCTGATTTTTTTGTGAGTGGATGTGATTATTTACTGCAATCCAGATTATTTAAAAAAAATCAACCTCTGCAGTCTTATAAACACCAGTTAGCCATCACATGATGACCTCTAAATGACTGTCTTTTATTGTGTCAGTCTCCCTCAGAACTGATGAGATACAGACTCCAACAGACCTCTGATGGAGTACATTATGTAAACAAAGATTATAACCATAAATGTCTGTCAGCAACCCTTTGATATAAACAGAGATGAGGCCATGACAATGAAAAAGCACATTAGAGATCATAACAAGGTCCTAACAGGGAGGGCAGCTGAAATATGAACTTATTTCGGAGTTTATTGATTGAGCACAGTGTTAGTTCAGGCAAGCCAGGAAAATCAAGCTTAACTAAGTGGCTGTTATGAACTGCTCTAACCTGCCTCAACTCCAGCTCCTCCTTTTTCTCCTGTGTCTGGTTTTACCAGCATTTGAGGTACAGTTTCTGATGTCTGCTTAATTCTCTATCCTAAAGGGTTCTTTGCTGCTGTTCTGCCTGTCTTGGCTTGTCCAGTATGCTGTGCAGCTAACCTCCACCTCAGTTCTTTCCAGTCCAGTCTTTGTCTAGCCTAAAGTACTGCAGACTGGGACACTCCACTAGAGCTGCAGTTCAGGAGACGCTTTGCAAAGTTTGTCCCATTAGAAATAAATAGGAGGAACTGAAAGTCCATCTTTCTGCTAGTAAATCAAACATATTTCTTATCATTCGCACATATTTCTCCATTGTGTTCACCCCCTGCCTATGCAGATTTTTTTTCTTATTTCTGCACAGAAGGTGACAAACAGCACATTAAATCCTACTTTTTTAATTCTGGAAAACTTTGCATTAACAGTAGCATTAACGGATCATGAGCCTCAATATGTCGTGTTAAAACAGGCCAAGAAGTCAGTGAATGCAGCTATAAATAATGCTTCACTAAAAAAAAAAAGAAACTTTAAATCATGCTCTAATTGCTGCACAGAATTTAACTCCATGAATATGTGCTCTGACAGGATGTTCACACCTCCAAAAACTTGTCAAAGGTGAAATGTGTCTTTCAGATATGATAAACACCTCCTCGTCTCCGTCTTTCCAACACTTTAAATTACACACTGCAGAACCACTTTCTGTAAACCCGACTCTGAGGGCGGATAAATGAGGAGACGGTGTGAATAGCAGCAGTTTCAGCTGTAGAGTCTCTTCAGGCCCGGATTTGACTGAAACTTCAAGGAACACAAAAACCGATGAAGAACAAAGACGAGTAGGAGGAGGAGGCTCTGCTGGCAGACAAGCAGAGGGGGATAGCACCAGCTCCTGTTCTGCCTCCTTCAGGCAGAAGCAGGAATGATAGGAGGCTGAGGGGTCGGAAAGGGGAGGATAAAGAGCAGAGAAATCCTGCGAAGGCCCAGAGAGGCCAGGAGGACTGGTGTCACCCTTCTCCCCAGGGACACGCTGTAAATCAGTGGAGGAGGAGGAGGCACATCTCCGGCTTTATGAGATAGTTAGCATGCTCTGGCCCCTCCCCACCTCTTGTTTCCCATTTAAGAGCTGACCGGCCCTCCGATAACGGATGGCGCCACAGGTAATTGGAAAATTGGCAGGCTTGTCAGGGAGATTTGGTGGATGGCACGAATGTATACGATGGCGGGGTTCATGAGGTGTCACCCCTCAGCGAGATTTATATCAGGCTCATGGACCGGCACCGCAAAGTACCCAGAGTTCAGGAAAAAGTAGCACATTTTTCTCCAGGCGAGACTGCATATCAAGACAGCCCCGCAGGCAGCGACAAGGTTCCTGTTAGTAAAGAGTTGATGTACGAGCCGTTCTTTGCATTAACCCTAACCTTAATTTACTATTTCTACACAAGCCTTAATAACGTCTGCAAATAGCTGCACACATCCTCCAATTCTGATTTATTTACAGTAAATACACGAGTTCATCTCCATCCCGGAGTGTCTGACATGTTTAAATTTCTGTCTGTATTAGCAAAGTGTCATTAGAAAGCACATGCACACTGCTGCAGCTGTCCAGCAAAAGCTTGATAATGAGATATCACAGGGAAAGTCCACATGTTGTTCAAAATTACTTTAGATCAAACACACAAACCTGCGAACAAAAAGAGCAAGTTGAGTTCCTATAACTCATCATAACAGTCGTCAGTACACCTCTGATTAACATAAACCAGCATGCAAATGTCCCTGCCCTCCTGTTCTTCACACATCAGAACAGGTGTTGAGCTTTAATCAAGTTGCCGTAGCAACCAGGATACACTCTCCCCTTAAAACTGCAGAAAGTGTACTGGGATCAGGAAGTACGCTGATGTTAGCGCATGCATCAGCATACCTAGCAAATAACTTCTTCATTAACAAATTTTAACCCACTTTAACTAGTTTTAAACTATCAATCAGGATGAGCTAATAGATAGGCTTTATTTTTATTGCAAAAGCCCAGGCAAAGAACATCTCACTCATTTAGGTCACCACCTTTTCCCTCCACACTGGTGTCTTGGCTGGTCTCAGTCTTTGCAGCCACTCTTCCCATTTTGGTTTCAGTGTATTTGACAGCATTGATCATGCTATTTTAATTGAACTTCTTAAGAGACTGGGTGGGCATTAGGGACACTGCACTTGGTAGCTGGTTTTATCTCTGAGGGTAAATCTTTGGAGTCACCATAGGTAATTTACTTCTATTCTTGCCTGTGGTGTACCGCAAGGTTGGGTTTTAGGTCCAATTTTATTTTGGATTTATATGCTGCCCCTTGGTCGAATGGTTCCGAATTGGATGTTGGATGGCACTGAACTTCATACAACTAAACAACTGCAAATCTGAAACAATCATTTTCAATTCACAAAATTTTATTTATTTTTGTATTTGAGCATCTTTACACTGGCTTCCAGTCAGTTTTACAATTGATTTTAAGATTTTACTCAGGATTTTTAAAGGGCTAAAAGGTCTGGTTCCAATCTATATAACAGAAATTGTATCCCCCCTAGCCTGCGCTCTGAGATTCTCTTTGAGTGGGGGCCTCCTGGTTGTTCTAAAGTCGAGACTTGAAACAAGAAGTGACAGGGCCTTTTCCATCAAGGCCCCTTGACTTTGGAACAACCACCCCAAGGACATAAGACATCACCTCTTAGAACTGTTTTTTATAGACTTGCTTCTATGTGATGTTTTCTTCTTATATTTATTATTTACAACTTTACCTCTCTTAATGTTTTCAATTCTTATTCCTTCTCTTTTACTTGCCTTTTAAAACTTAAGTTGCCTCGATCTCTGTGTTTAGATCTTGTTTAGGTTCTCTCCCCTTGAGTATCCTCTTGTTTTTATCTTGCTGCTGTACTATACATCTAAACCCTGGTTTTTAAAAGTTTAAAGTATGAACAAAGTTATTATTATTATTATTATTATTATTATTATTATTATTATTATTATGTCCCTTAAAGTATTTCTCACTGAGCTCTACCGGGTGGTTCTTGTGCTTCTGAACAGACATCATTAATAATCACAGGACATTACAGGATACAGGGCCAGAGCAAAATGGACGGCAGGGACCAAAAACATGAATGTTTTTATTTTTCTGCAAACTGTGAGCTTAGACACTTAATCACTGACCAGAACATGAAGAGATGAACAGTTTAAGTGTGTTAAAAGAAGATTTAGCATCAAAACTTTAAATGTATTTTGTTTAAAGGAAAAAACAGCAATACTAAAATAGAAAAAGTAGGAAAACCTCCCAAATATAAAAATCTTTGCACCAGCAAATGCCGGAACAAAAAAAGGTGTTGCACAACATCTTCAATAAAACCAGGAGCAGGAGTGTGTTTGTGAGCCTGGCTGGGCCATCCAGTTGCGTGAATCACTTGCCGTTCCTTCCCACAACAGTCTGGACTTCGGCCAATTGGGAGCCCTAAAAGTGGGCGGGAGTACTTTCCTTGATAGACAGACTACTGTAACCAATCACTGTAACCAAACATCTGACGTCATCACAGTGCGCAACTGTGTTCCCTGCTGGGCTCTCAAGCATCAAGTAAAGGTTTGGTAATATTTCAACGTGTACGAGCAAACAATGTCTTTGTAAAGCAAAAAGTGTCTTCTTCTGCAGATACAAACGATTTTTGCCGACTTTGCAAAGTCAACTGCAGAATTAACGGCGTTCTGAATGAACGGCACTTTGAAAAGTCCCGCAGCATGTGTTAGACGTCACCATCTACACATGGACCAATAAGGGGCTGCCTTTCCCTGTTGTCAGGGGAACAGTGGAAACACGGTCACTGATTGGCCCGGTTATTTTCTGATTTCTAATACACGCTCCCAATTGGCCGAAGTCCAGACTGTTGTGGGAAGGAACGGCAAGTGATTCACGCAACTGAATGGCCCAGCCAGGCTATGTTTGTTGCTGCCTGATGTGAACTTGGTCCTTCAGTGAAATTCCCATCCCAATCTTCTGTTTCCACATGTTTTTTTATTTTTTTAGTTTCCTTTCTTCAATTAGCTAGCACACAGCTGGGAGATCGGAGAATGAAATCTGGTGCCATTGGGATCAATGTGATTATGTTTTATGTGGAAGTTTTAGTTTGTCGAAGTGTGTGTGTGGAGCAGATAAAGACAATGAGTCAAACAGGGAGAAATGTTAATGTGAGCACACACACACACACACACAGAGACACACGCACAGAGTCAGTGCAGGACAGCAGCCATGTTTGATTGACGTAGAGTTAGCGCTCTTGTCTGCTCCAAGCCGGCTGCATGAAGGAGGAGTCAGGAGGTGTTGTGGGCTAAGGATCCTAACCTGGTGATCACACACACTCTGGTGTGTAGATGTGTTCATTAACCTCTGGAGGGGGGATAATTGTATCTGTCAGAGTCGTTTAATCACCGCTGCAGCCCTCTCCGCTGTCACTTTCACTTTGTCTGCTTTGCTAAATCAGCTGCTCCTCCATGGCCGCCCCGGCTCCTCTTTCTTTGTGTTCGTTTAAAAACCCACATTTACAGATGGGAGACGGTCTTTCATTAATAAAAAGTAGAGCTTCTCCTCTTTGTTTGACTCCTCAAGTTTAGATTTGCTCACTTAGATTGGAGATTGTTTGCCGTGGTAAATGCACCCACTCATGGCTGGTGGACTTGAAGAGTTTATTTTAGTCTCTAACAGGCTCACAGAGTTGAGTGTCTGAGTGTCCCACCACACCAAAAAAAAGGTCTCTGCACAGGTGGACGTTAGACTGAAGAGTAAGATCCTTTTTTCCTTCAAACCAGCCAGTGAACTGATGTGGTAACAGCTGCATTGTTCTTTTCTTCATGATCGGAAACAGTCATTTTACTGCACAGAGCTCAGGAGTTGTTGGTCTACCGTTGCCTTAAATTAGAATTGGTTTGTCAGAGACATTCATTTTTGTAACTCTCAATCATAGATAGTGTACGGTTATGTACATTTATAATGCAGTAACTGAAGCCTGGTCCACAGCTACATCAGTTGGTTGATGAGCTAGTTAGATGGTAGATAGTTGCTTTTATGGTGAAATGGTTTCATTAATTTACTGGACAGTTGGCTTGTTGGCTTTCTGACTGGTTAGTCTCTTAATTTATTAGTTTTCTGGTCCATTGGTGTGGTAAATGACTGGTTGGTCATGAGGCAGCTGATGAGTTGTTGTTTTTTTATTTTTTTATTTTTTTGATTGGTTGGTTGGTTGGTTGGTTTGTCGGTTGGTTGGTTGGTTGGCCTTCTGGCTGGTTTGTTGCTTGAGTTTTTGTTTTTTCAGTCAGCTGTTTGTTTTGGTGACTTGGCACTGTAGCTGGTTTGTTGATTTTTTTTATTGATTGGGTAGTAAGTTTGTCTATCATATCTTAAAGGACATGAGCAACTATAGATGGATTGTTATTTCACACTTAATATGTAGTTGAAGTTCATTTGATTTCCTTAAGGCCTGGATCAAGTCTCATTTTTGTTCCAACACTGTTAACCTTTTATTGGCTGTCAGACCTGGAAATAGAAACCTTTACTTGTCCTTTAGAAATACGATTTCATGTTATACAATTACAAACATTTCCGACCTTGACAGAAACTTTAAGCCAGATGAGTACAACAAAAAATCTTTCCTCTGAGTTAAATTTTTTAATTACTACAACTTTTTATCTGCTAAATACAAATGAATAGACCCGCTGGTCAAAATCATATTCACTTCACTTTAGCTACATTAGGGACACACGTCTTTCCTGAGTGTGAATTTGACGCATTTTTGTCCAACATGGCAGACAAATATGTGCATCTGCAGTGAGTAATGCAGATTTTCAGATACACTTGCAGTTATTACATTTCTGTTGTAGGAAAATGTGAGGTCAATTTTTCTATAATGTGTAAATGAACATGATGTGTTATGTGTGTTTTCAGGAGGAAGAGGAACAGGTGGAGGAAGAGAACTCTGTGAAAGAGGAAACAGCTGAGCAGGAGATCCTGAACTGAGCCTGAGGGAGAGGACACCAACACACACATCTCTCTCTGAGGCTTCACCTCCAATCACAGCATTTCTGTCCTACAGACCTACAGCACACGCAGCTTTCTACTGAACCTCCACAGTTTATAGACCGTCAGCAGCTAGATTAGACCACTACAGATAGTTTAGCAGCCAGCGGTGTATTTTAGAAAACACATTTTAAACCGTGATATCTTTAGATTCAAGGTAGAGTTTGTACTTTTTATGAACAGAGCTGAACAGACAGACTTCACACACACACACACGCACAGGCAGGCACACACACACACACACACACACGCACACACACACCACTGTGCTTCTTCTACAGCAGAGATATGAGTCTGACTGTTAACACCCAGCCACATGATGCATTAATGACACTTTCCATGATCTATTTTCATACACTAACGACAGTCAGTCCACACAGAGTATCCTCAGTGTCCTGTTTACAAGGTGAAGCTGGCAGAGTGGCTGTGAGTCCACAGAGAAAGTCTGATGTCTGCAGTGAACCTTCGCTCACACAACATCTGACTGGAGGATTTTATTTTTATATTTCATGTATATCTTTTTACTCTCCCCAGTTTGAATACCTACTTAATTTCTCATTACTTTAGTTGTGCTTATGTGAGTTTTTGTGTTGGGAAAAGCTTTCTTATCTTTTATTTACATTGTCTAAAAGGAAAACCTGGTCATTTTAAGCTGGGACTCTCTTTTTTAAATATTTTGTAGTTAAATGACTGAAAGGTAAAAAAAAAATAAAAAACTTGGTGGGATTTCTTTTCTAGTCTGCAGTCATGTGTAAGACCGTAATGCCTGCATTGTCCTCACTGCAGGCAAATGCAAAAGTATGTCCTCTAAACAGGCTAATGATTATCAGGCATTCACCAAACTGATAATGCATAATTTAATAGTTGTGAAAACAGTCAGAGTGACTCTGTGATCACTGAGATTGACTTTGTCTGTCGTAGTGTGGTGGCTTTTTTGCCTGACGGTGATGAAAAAGAAGAACTTCAAGTTGACGAGCTGCTGCATGGATTAGCCACAGACCAGTATGACCCTTAAATATTGACTAAGAGACCGTGTTTAAAATGACCAGATTTTCCTTAGAAGTGTTGCATACCAACCTACAGTATGTTGTTATTGGATTTGTAATAAAAATCTTTATGTTTTGAAAATGTCTCAAATATTGTGTTTGGATCATTTTTACAGTTGAATACGTCCTTTGTTGTTTTGAGTCTTCTTCTTGGACAGATGCGTCTTTGACCTGTTGATGGTTTTTGGTCCAGACTGCATCTCCAAACTCTCTGGGAATCATCACTCACCCGTTTCAATTCCATAAGTAGCAAATTCATCAAACCCAAAGAGGCAGAAACATGTTTGTTCTAACGTATGTCAAATGTTATAAGGCTTGTTCATTTTACATGATTAAATTTGCAGATGCAATGCTGCAGAGAATTGGTAGATGCCACTGCAGTCATGCACCAGATGTTTTACCTGAGGCCAATGGAGATTTTCTTGAGCCCTAACTAACTCATTTCATGTCAGATGGTGATAATACAGAATTCAAGAGGGTTCTCAGAAACTCCAGAACCAAAAGGAGGAAACAAACACTAAAGAGAGTTTTATCAAAGACATCGACATGGAACAAAGAGGTCAAAAGTGGAAGTATAAAAAAAAAGCCTGGAATCATCTAAAAGGGAATCTTCAAACAGGTCACAGTATCTGATATGATCAGCTGGTCAACAGGGGGCGCTAGGGCCCCGCCTCACCACTTTCTACAGAGACAATTACAGACTATTATTGAATAAGGTTTTTAAAAATATTTCTGATTGAGATTTTAATGGGGAAAAATGAGGTCAATGTTTTACCAACTGTGTTTAAAGAATAAGCTGCAGTAAAAATGTAGATTAACCGTTTTCAACATCACTAAACTCGATGATCGCTCCCGTGTTTCCGGCCTCAGGCCTCCGATGATTCATGCAGGAAAGTTGTACATGCGCAGTCTGTCCTCTAAATAAATGGTAGGAGCTGGAAGAACATGACGATCAGCTGATCTGTGACCACAATTTTACTGCCATTTACAAAAAAAGTACTTTAACTTAACCAGTGACCATTGCAAAAAAATTTTGGAAAGTGGTGAAATCCTCCTCTGGCACAATCACGAGTGACGAACCCCCAAACTAGTTTGTGAGTCCAGTATACTGACTGAAAAAGTCTGAAATGTTAAAATATTTTCATGAACATTTTATCTCAGCGGGCCACTTATTTGAATCATTGAACCCTGATCAAATAAAGTCTGTTTCTCATGGCGATACAGGGCTTGTCAACGGACATAATGATTGTACTTTTAATTTTTTACTTGTATCTGCCTATGATGTTGGGAGAGCACCTAAAAATCTGGATTCCAGAAAAGCTGCAGGTCCTGATAAACTTGACCCATTCTTTCTTAAGCTGGGATCTGATTTTATTGCAGAGCCTCTATCTTACATTTTTAATCTAAGTCTCACATATAACAAAATTCCCCAAATCTGGAAGTCTGCCTTTGTACTTCCCCTCTTAAAAGGAGGTGAACTATCTGAAGAATTATAGGCCTATTTCTAAATTGTGTGTATTGGCTGAAGTGTTTGAGAGGCTATTCAGTGATCAACTGAAGGACTTTTCAGATATAAATAACATTTTACCATCATTTCAATCTGGATTTAAAAAGTGGCACAACACTGTCACCGCGGCTCTTTAAGTTTTTAATGATTTTATCCAGGCCCTGGACAATAATAATACTGTGTGGCTATTTTTATAGACTTGTCAGAAGCATTTACACTGTAGACCATAATCTGCTTTTAAGTGTACCTCAGTATATTGGCCTATCAAACCAAGCAGCATCGTGGTTTGCAGACAACCTAGTCAGTAGGTCACATGGGACCTATTTTATTCTCTATCTATAATAATAATGTGTAACAACTTGTCAAATGTCTCTTATCATTTTTATGCCGATGACACTGTCATTAATTGTTGTTCAACATCAATTATCCAGGCTTTTGAGTTTTTACAGACTGCTTTTGATGTTGTTCAATCTCGACTGCAGAAACGCAAATTGGTCTTCAACGCAAAAAAAACAAAAAAAAAACCCTCCTATTTTGGAGCAAGAGTGAGTTACCTGGGAACATTGCCTCTATCTTCACTTCACAGGGTGTACCCATTGAGCTTGTATCTGTGTATAAATATCTGGGTTTTCTTGGTGACTGCGAGCTTTCTTTCAAAGCACATATTGCTACTTTGGTCACTAAACTCAGACTAAAAATATGTGTCTACTACAGGAATAAATCCTGCTTCTCCCCCAGCGCTCGAAAACACCTTGTATCTGTAACCTTTCTTCCATTGTTGGAGTCTGGTGCTGTTTTATATATGACTGCTTAAGCCAAATGCCTACAGTTCTTAACTGCTGTGTATCACTGTGCTCTGAGATTTATTACTGGTTGTAGTCGCCTAACGCATCATTGCGAACTTAATGCCAAATCTGTCTGGCCTTCTCTGAGTATTCGCAGGTACACTCACTGAATGACTCTAATTTATAAGGTTCTTCTTGGCTTCGTTCCTTCTTATTTATGAGCCCTTCTTCAAAGAACCAAAAGCCACGAAACCCTGCGCTCAAACAACACTGTCCATTTGATTGTTCTGCAAGTGAGTCAGGACTGAACTGGGCAAAAAAGCATTCAGTTTTGCTGCCACATACTCTCCAGACTGACCTGAAACTGTTGGAATTAATTTTGCTGGAAGCATTTCATTCAATCTTACATGAGAGACTTTGGGAGACAATGAAACAGTGTCTGTGTTTTTAATTATGTTTCTGGAGGTCAATTCTTCTTTATTATCATTATTATTATTATTGTGACGTGTGCTGCTGACCACTTGGCCAGGTCACCCTTGTAAAAGAGATCTCGATCTCAATGGGTTATTATCTGGTTAGATAAAGGTTAAATAAAAAATAAGAACAAATCTAATATCACCATCACTGAGTTTTAAAGGACTCTGTTAACGCTACTTTTGGTCAAATACTCGCAAACTGCAGCAGATGAAGGCAGAAAACAGTATTTTACAGTAGTTTACTTCGTAGACTCACAAGCTTCTGGAAATATGCCAAAGGAAAACTCATGAACTCTGGATCCATTTCCTTTACCCGAATAGGAAACGCAACAGTGGAGCTGCAGATATTAACACTGACTGTAGATGTTAGCTGACACACTGATGATGAGGGTCCTTTTGCATAAGGTTCAGGATCAAGACTCAGGAAGAAGGTGAAACATTATCTTGATCAGCCTGCAGACTGATTAGCCAGAGAAGCAGGTGGAAGTTTGTTGAAAACAAAGAGCTGTTATAGCTGCTATACTTTCCGGGACCTGGGCCTGGACCGGTATAGACCTCCTGGAAGAATGAACTATTAGCAAAGTTTCTGGTCCTGATTCATGGATCCTGCTGAAAAACATATCTACCTACCCAGGCCAACTAAGCCCAGCAACAGGTTTTAGGAAGAGAACCTGCCTTCACTTCTCTTTGTGGACTTAAATGGACTTTCTGTGGACTTTCTGTGGACACTTTAGATCCAGTACCGTAATTGGGATCCTGGGTTTAAATAGGAGATGGACTCTTGGGAACCAGGAGGGTAACAAAGAGAAGCTGGGTTCACTAATGTCAGTGAAAAATGTTTTGCTCTCAACTCTGTTGGCAGTGACACACCTGCTGTGACTAAAAGTACTTGGACTTATGAGTGCGCACGTGTTTAGTTTGTGTGTGTGTGCGGAGTGTGCATTAGGCGCGAATGTGCAGAGTGCAGTGTGTGTTTATTGTAGCATTAGAGTCAATACCAGCCGTTGTGATGTCTGCACGTGCATGTGCACAGTGTGTGTGTATGTGAAGTACATGCAGTAGTTATTATGGTGAGAACTAAAGCAGTCTATTGTAGGGTCTCTCCATGGGCTGTTAAGAACACTTC